ATATATATTCTAGCTTTGTTCTGAACTATGGTCAGAAACTGCACATTACCCATGTATAATGGACTGTCCCTAAATGCAGCTGGTAGCCAGCGTCAGTGAAATGTGTGTAATTGTCCCCGGCAGACGAGGCTCCAGATGTCACAGCGACTTTATCTCATTATCTCCCTGAATCAACGAGCATTGGGAAATGCTGCAGTTATTTTTCATAATATTACTGGGTTTAAATGTCCAAAAAGTTGATCTACTGTGCAGCAACAATTACAATCATTCCTCAACAATCAGCCCCCCCCCCCCTCCCTCACAGACCTGCTGCACCACCACACCCCTTCCCGCTGCCTCTGCTCATCAGAAGCCAACCTCCTATCCATCCCCACCCGCACCAATCACCGGACCTGGGGGGACAGAGCCTTCTCCGTCGCTGCCCCCTCCCTCTGGAACTCACTCCCCCAACCCATCAGAGACTGCACTGACCTCACCACCTTCAAAACACTCACCTCTTCAATCTGGCTTTTAATGTGTGATTGTTTTTGTATTATTTGACTTTAACTTTAACTATATATTTATTTGTTGTTCCTTTATTTTATTTTATTTTCACTATATCTGTAAAGCGTCTTTGAGCACCTGTAAAAGCGCTAACAAATTAAATCTATTATTATTATTAAATCTGCTGTTCTTTCACTAAACTTCTATATCTTTGATTTCTGTCACTAGTGAACAACTGAAAACACACACACACACACACACACACACACACACACACACACACACACACACACACACACACACACACACACACACACACACACACACACACACACACACACACACACACACACACACACACACACACACACACACACACACACACACACACACACACACACACACACACACACACACTCACACTCACACTCACACTCGCTCGACCAACACTTATGTGAAACTTTTTTGTCTTGCATCTGTAATATATCGGGGAAAAAAAAGACAGTCCCCGACAACTGAAAGGAATAAAGGGGAGGGGGGGGGAGGTGCCAAACAAACAAAAAAAATGGAGGCCATCATAAATAAAACATCGAGGCATTACACAAGACGCAAGAGTGGGGGAGAAATAATGAGAAAAACAGCGAGGAGAGACCGAGAGGCGCGGTGGCATCATTTCTTCTGACTGCTGATGTCATTTACCTGCATCAATATTTCACAGCAGAGATGGAGGAGAGGGGGGAGGAGGGGGAGGAGGGCAGGCGTGTGACAGACACAGAACCTATTTGAGACCAGGGGTGTGAAGCAGAGACGAAGCTAAGATTCAGAAACAAAGAGTACATATGGAGAGTGTGGAGCTGAAAAAAGGGGAAGTAATAACTTAATTTCTCCTCCGTTTGTGAGAAGGAAATGACACTAATACTCTATTAAAGTATTGAGGATCTTAATTTGAGGATTCAGTGAAGAGGGGAGATGTTAAACTATGCGCAAATGAAATAATATTCTATCTAAAATTGTAACTTCTTAAAGAGAATCCAAATGTGTTTTTATCCAGTGGGGGATATTTGAGAAATAATATCAAATAAAGTCAAAAATGTTTATATAAGCATAAGAAATTAAAGTAACATTTTAATTGCAATAAGAAGATAAAACAATACAAAATAAAATAAAGATAATATCAAATAAAATAAATAACATAATAATAAATTGGTATAATCCTGCGATTAAAGTAAAAATGGGCAAGTAAAAAAAAGATAAAATAAAATTAAGACAATTATTCATCCAACTATATGAAATTAAAGTAACATTTGCAATAAAAATATAAAACTAAGTAAATAATATAAAAGATAATATCAAATAAAATAAAGATAACTCATTTAATCAAGAAAATGTGCAAAAAAAAGACAACTTAAAGGGGACCTATCATGGAAAATGCACTTTCTGTCTTTTATACATCAATGTGTCCCCGGTGTGTCGGGAACTCACGCAGCGTCAGAAAATAAAACCCTCTCTCTTTTCCTCCGTACCCAAATCTCTAAAAACGGGGGAACAACGGAGCTGATCCAGATTTGCGTCCGATATGACGTAATATCTGAAATGTGGACCCACGGCCCAATCAGAAACGTTGCTATCGGAAACAATGCCCGACTGTTTTGGACGTAATATGGTCTGTGTTTACATTAGCATCGCTAACACTCAGAGCTAACCTGTACTGGAGAGCATGACTCTTTAAAGTAGAGACACTACATACTGATATACACCTGAACATCAGCAGGAGAGGACTCTTTAAAGTAGAGACACTACATACTGATATACACCTGAACATCAGCAGGAGAGGACTCTTTAAAGTAGAGACACTACATACTGATATATACACCTGAACATCCAGCAGGAGAGGACTCTTTAAAGTAGATACACTACATACTGATATACAACCTGAAAACATCAGCAGGAGAGGACTCTTTAAAGTAGAGACACTACAATACTGATATACACCTGAACATCAGCAGGAGAGGACTCTTAAAGTTAGAGACACTACATACTGATATAACACCTGAACATCAGCAGGAGAGGACTCTTTAAAGTAGAGACACTACATACTGATATACACATGAACATCAGCAGGGAGAGGACTCTTTAAAGTAGAGACACTACATACTGATATACACCTGACATCAGGCAGGAGAGGACTCTTTAAAGTAGAGACACTACATACTGATATACACCTGAACATCAGCAGGAGGAGGACTCTTTAAAGTAGAGACACTACATACTGATATAACCACTGAAACATCAGCAGGAGAGGACTCTTTAAAGTAGAGACACTACATACTGATATACACCTGAACATCAGCAGGGAGAGGACTCTTTAAAGTAGAGACACTACATACTGATATACACCTGAAACATCAGCAGGAGAGGACTCTTTAAAGTAGAGACACTACATACTGATTACACACTGAACATCAGCAGGAGAGGACTCTTTAAAAGTAGAGACACTACATACTGATAATACACCTGAACATCAGCAGGAGAGGACTCTTTAAAGTAGAGACACTACATACTGATATACACCTGAACATCAGCAGGAGAGGACTCTTTAAGTAGAGACACTACATACTGATATACACCTGAACATCAGCAGAGAGGACTCTTTAAAAGTAGAGACACTACATACTGAAATATACACCTGAACATCAGCAGAGAGGACTCTTTAAAAGTAGAGACACTACATACTGATATACACCTGAACAATCAGCACAGGAGGAGGACTCTTTAAAGTAGAGACACTACATACTGATATACAACCTGAACATCAGCAGGAGAGGGACTCTTTAAAGTAGAGACACTACATACTGATATACACCTGAAACATCAGCAGGAGAGGACTCTTTAAAGTAGAGACACTACATACTGATATACACCTGAACATCAGCAGGAGAGGACTCTTTAAAGTAGAGACACTAAATATCACTATATAACTCAACATTTCTTAACAAAAAAACCTGCCACTAAATGACTGAGATTACAAATCAAATCAATACTACCACATTGACTCGGTGTTATTATACTCTTTGTTATCCCCACATGTACTGAACCTAACAACTAACAGGCTCAATTATTTCCCAGTAATAATGCAGCATGCTGCGGTGAATCCATAACGAGATTCTTTTGAATTTCACTACAGTGGAAACAGTAATGGCTTTTGAAAGTTTATTTGAGATTCGGACCTTTAACGTGGCCCCCTATCTGGGATAATACATGATTGTTAGCTGACTTGAGTGCAAACTGTGTTGTGGTATTGTAACAGACAGATTCTGGTAATGTGTGAAACGTAGAACATTTCGTGATTCATCCCTTTCATTAATACATTCGAAGAAATGTGTTTGGTCATTCAGTTTCTGCTACACATCTGAACCGGAGCATTGTGCTGTAATGATGTGAAACCCACGCTGGAGGGTTCACTCTGTACACCACCTAATGAAAAAACGCTCATCATTTTTTACTTTTCGTTTAGTTCCTCAAGGCACGTCTGACTTCTGAGCACCAAAGGAGTGTGTTGGGAACCAAAGTGATGAATTCTTTTGTGGTGTTTCCTAGCTGAGAATGGCCAATTTTAAGAGCAAAATCTTGTATTTCTTTCCTTACTTCTCAGCAAAGTTCCAGCCGTAACAAAGTAATTTATGAGCTGCACAGAAACGGGTTTACACACAAGCCTCGGAGCGACGGATGAAGAATGATCTGACAGCGCTGTGTGCTTGTGAATGATTGAAAATGTGTACAGACTTCAATAATTATCCCCGACATGTGAAACTAATGGAGCTCCTTAAAGTGCCTCAAGTGTAATCATTAATAGTGCTAATAGAGTTGCACTGACACCAAAATGACTGCCAGACGGGAGAATAGTGTGTTCTTGAATTATGTTTACATTAAAGTGATGTTGGGGAGAAATATGAGCATTTACTGAAGGTCTGTGGTTAACAGGATGTTCTAGTATCTTAGCTTTGGCTGATGAGTAATTGCAGGTCACTAATTGCATTAGACGTAGCTTTTTGACAGTAACCGTTGGAGTGCATCATCTCTGTATAAAAGACGCCTAAATTGCCCTCCGTTTAAATGTGTTCAGATTGAGAGCAAAGCTAGTTTCAGATATAATAATGCAATGAGATACAGAATCAATACAAAGTCAGGGCCGTTTTGAAGAAGCTACGAGCACGTCTTCATTTAAAAAAGCTAAGTTACAGCAGCACTACTTTTTAAACAAGAGTAACACACACACACACACACACACACGGTCCATATGTATGGGCGTAATGTCTTCACAGTTGGTGTGAATAAATGCAATCGGGAAACTCAATCTGCCGATCATAATACATAACATTCCCTTTAGTACAAAAACAATTGCTGGTCTTTCTGGACTCAATGCAACAAACAGTGCAAGTTTGACACGGCACAACATCTGGTCTCGTTACACTGCTTGAAACAGAAATATTCGTTAGAAATGTGGATAACATGCTCACCACAAAGTAGCTCTTTAAGATCGTTGGTGGCTCCTAGTACAGGGGATGACATCATATTTGATGGGTAACATTTTTTTTTTTACAATAATTTGCACATTTAATTTGAGAGAAGCTAGATCACGGATACGTTATTGATGCTGATTGACGCACGAAGATCAAATGTGGGATTATGTCCAATTAAGGGTTGGGGGGGGATTGGCCAATTATTGGCTAAATGCATTTTTCCCCCGTGTTATTTTCATTTTATTCTTCTAGTTTAAGGGTCTGCCCCAAAAGAACGAGTGCATTCTTACATCTAACTCTCTGGAAAAGGGTACATTTGCACAGTGCTACTCACAAACCAGCGTGAATGTATCTGATATTGCCACTTGATGGGGTGACATTTGGAAAATATACCATTTCGCCCAACACAAATCTCTACGAGTCTAACGCTCAATAGTGTTAGATGTTCGGAAATTAAGAGCAAAATAATGTTACAATGACTTGTACATTTAATTTGATAAGAGCTAGATCAGTGCTTCTCAAATTGTGGTCTGCGGACCACTGGTGGTCCGTGAGCGCCCCCTAGTGGTCCGTGAGTATATTGGTAACATTTCACATTTGAAATAAATAAATACATTTAAGTTTTTCGCACTCTCGCGGGAATATCTCCGCAATGGAACAAGCTTAAGTTTCACTTTTGATTGCATGATATAGCCCAGATAAACACCTTCATCACACATGTTGCCACTTGTTTGTACCATTTTCAGGCGATTTGTAAAAAAACGATGTGTTTTTGGATATTTGTGGAGTTAGGTGGTCCGCGAGTGTTTTTTTATTGGTTAAGTGGTCCTTGGTATGAAAAAGTTTGAGAAACACTGAGCTAGATAAATCATTGATGCTGATCGACGCACAAAGATTACAAAGTGGGAATACGTCCAAATTAGGGTTGGGCGAATTGGATATTAATTATATTGGGCTATTGGCTAAATCCATATTTCCAATGTTTTATTGTCAATTCATTTTTCTAGTTTAAGGGTCAGGGTCAGGGTTAGGCCGCAAAAGAGGAAGCACAGCTCTAACTCTCTGTAAAAGGGTTTATTTGGACTAAACCAGAGTTTGGGTTTGTTGGAAAAGTGGACAGATGGTAGGCGGCACAGTGCCATACAAAAACCGGCGTGAATGTATCTGTTATTGCCATTTGTTAGAATGACGTTTGGGAAAATGAAACATATCGGCCAACACAAATCTCTATGCATGATTGTGAGACGCGGAATAGTGTTATATTTTCAGATATTGAGAGCAAAATAATGTATATCACGAATACATAATTGATTCTGATTGCAAAAAGATTAAAAAGTGGGAATACGTCTAAATTAGGGTTGGGGAGATTGGACATTAATTATATCGGGCTATTGGCTAAATCCATATTTCCAATGTTTTACCGTCATTTGATATTTCTAGTTTAAGGGTCAGGGTCAGGGTCAGGCCCCCAAAGAGGAAGCACAGCTCTAACTCTCTGAAAAAGGGTTTATTTGGACTAAACCAGAGTTGGGGTTTGTCGGAAAAGTGGACAGATGGTAGTGGGCACAGTGCCACACAAAAACCGGCGTGAATGTATCTGCTATTGCAATTTGTCAGGCTAACGTTGGGGAAAATGTAACATATCGGCCAACACAAATAGTTCAATCGTTTTTGATTTTCAGAAATTGATATCTGATAATTTGTCATCCAACGCTACAGCTGTTTTTGTACAATCATTTTTCTCAATTTATAATCTCGTTCCATTCGTCGGCGTGCACCAATGCACAGTGGCCTGTAATTGTACAGCAGGCTACATCCCAGTTTGTGGTGATCTTTTTCCAATATCTCCCGGGTATTGCCATGCATCATCATTTCATCTGAGCTGCTGCTGTCATTCAAGTTGCTAATGAAGAGATATGACGCTCCTCTCTGGATATTGAACGCTGCATGCAGAGGAACGTGCTCCAAAGCTTCACGTGGAATACAATCGTTTCTTTTTGATCAATTACAACAAACTTGATGGGATTTTTTCTGCATCACTCCAGGAAAAAGGCGTGTCCTGTGAGGCCGTCACTGATTGGACGCCTCGGGTGAAACAGCTGATGATGGACAGCATGCTTGGTTGAACAGCCTCTTCCTTGTTGACCACTTAACCACATGTTACTTTAAGATGACAGGTATTTGATATTTTTTTACAGATGCAAAATGCTTTCTTAATGGTATTTTCATGTTGCAGAAAAGCTATATTTAATATGACTCTTTGAAACTCTTTAAAACTTTAAAATGACAACATGTATCTTTTTAAATATTGTTTTTATGATGTCTTAACACTAGCTTGAAAAACAACTTATCACAGGCCTCTTGATGTTGTTTGTTTCAATACGATTCCAATTAGCATTATGTTGGGCATGTGATAACATCTTATGTTTTTTGTTTAGATGTTTGTTTACCTTGTATTTTATTTAACTCTTAAGTAAGTCAAGCACAACTTTGTGGACTCTGGAAAACCCTTTGAAACTCTGGCTTTACTACATGAAGCTTAACATAACATTCAAAGCACATGTTTGTACACTCATTTCAATTTTGTACGCTTCTTTTAGACATTTTTTGTACAAAATGTAGACACTGGCGTTAAAAAATTGTGCCAGTCATTGTTCATAAACTGTCTTTTTATCCTAAAATTAGAAATATCCAAATTAAGGGATTCAAAAAGTTTGGATATAATGGTTTAAAGGACCAACTTAAGAAAGCAAATTGTTGGAATTGTAAATAAGCAGACATTTTAGATGATCTTTGTAACCTCAACTGACCATTAGACCAATGAAAAGACATTAAGATGAATGGATCCTTGTCTTAGCCAATCACAAAGCAGCTAGAGACAGTTAAAGGTCAGTGTGTTGGGTTACAGGTTGTACAAGGAGGAGGGTGTTCAACACTTTGTTGGCTCGATGGTACAGACGGACAGTTTATCGGCGTTTGGGATTAGCCCCGGAAAATGAAATGAAGGAGGTGATAATTGGTTGATTGGCTGATGAACCTGTTGCCGGGCGGATTCCAGGCATTTGGGTAGCCCTGATCGGGGGCTCTTACCACTATGGATATCCGGACTCGTTTGGACGGCCTCCTGAGTTCAGGAGACACGGGGCTCTCCACGTTGTTGTTTTTCTTTTTTTTTTCAACGACCAGAGATAAGCACACAATGTTAACATAGTGTGACTTTGCAGAAAACACTTTCCACGCCACTATGACGAAGATTTCACTGCATTAGAGTGGTGCAAGAATGAGCCCTAAAAACCTGGAAATGAGTCAGCATTTTACCACTTACAATTCCCTTGCCTCAAAGTCAATGGCGTACAATTCAAACGTTAGCCACCTTTAGCTTAGCGGTGGTGAAGGGAAGTCATGTGACCGTGCTGTAGTTCCTTTATAAGCTAACGTTAGCCACCTTTAGCTTAGCGGTGGTGAAGGGAAGTCATGTGACCGTGCTGTAGTTCCTTTATAAGCTAACGTTAGCCACCTTTAGCTTAGCGGTGATGAAGTGAAGTCATGTGACCGTGCTGTAGTTCCTTTATACGCTAACGTTAGCCACCTTTAGCTTAGCGGTGGTGAAGTGAAGTCATGTGACCGTGCTGTAGTTCCTTTATACGCTAATTTTTGCATTTTACTTCTAGTGATTCCAGTGGTGTTTATATGTGGAGATTATCCTGCCGAACAAAATGTGTAAGTATCATAAACGTTTGTTTGGAAAGGTTCTTGTTTTATGCAATCCAGTCGAAAATGTCATTGCTTTTTGTCAAGGGAACGAGTGTGATGCTAATTTCCATGTCGGCCTACAAAAATATGTCATCCCTGCACCACTCTGTACTGGGAGGAAAGAAATTGAAACGCTAGGAAGAACGCCGTTAGCGTGGCGCTACAGGAGTCCTATTTTTATGTTAAAAGACAAAGTAAAAAAGGTTTTAAACTGAGGCGGACTGAAATTATGCAGTGTGTGTGTTCTCTGTGTGTGTGTGTGTGTTGTGTGGGAGGTACTGTACTGTGGAGCGTGAAGGACTGTATGTGAGAGATAGCATAAGACTATGTGGGTGTGCAAAATGTGTGAACGACAGGATGTGTGAGGCACTGTGAGGCACTGTGTGTGTGTGTGTGTGTGTGTGTGTGTGTGTGTGTGTGTGTGTGTGTGTGTGTGTGTGTGTGTGTCTGTGTGTCTGTGTGTGTGTGTGTGTCTGTGTGTGTGTGTGTGTGTGTGTGTTGGGTGTATTCCAGGACATGACTCTCTCACCTCCAGGCCTTCTGTGTCGGGACTGGCGCAGAACAGGTCCTTTAAAGCAATACCTGAATTATCATTTGGGCCTAAAAAGAGGAGACAGAGAGAGATTCAAAATCAGTGAAATCACCAGATATTATTAGTCCAAGCTTTAGATACTTATGAGTAAGTTAAGATACATCTGTTTGCAGACCTTATATCTAAAAAAGCATTATAAATACAGCTGCATCATCTGCAAAGAAACTGTCCCAAGACATTGATCTTCCAAGGATATTAAAACATGTCTTTGACTGGTCTTCACTGAGATTGCATGGAAACCTTGACTACAGATAATGTCATATTCAGCTCTACAGAAGATATTCCAGCACGTAGATCAGCATGGGAACTTCTGTTACTTCAAGTTCTTCACCCCGGGTAACAAATCAAATATCAAAAGTTCCACACACTCGTCCAAAACAAAATGAATTATTAAACTTGGAGAAAAAAAAGTGTCAAACCATATCACAGCCTGAAGGAACAAAAACACAGAAACTCTATCGAGATCCTTTTTCAAATCTGACTCATCCTCTCCTATGGTTCTCACCGTCACACACTTGGCAGACCACACACCCACCCACACACACACACACACACACACACACACACACACACACACACACACACACACACACACACACACACACACACACACACACACACACACACACACACACACACACACACACACACACACACACACACACACACACACACACACACACACACACACACACACACACACACACACACACACACACACACACACACACACACACACACACACACACACACACACACACACACACACACACACACACACACACACACACACACACACACACACACACACACACACACAGAAGATAAAGTGATTATTTTAAATGGCGAAGTATGCACACCTTATTAATAACACAATAAGTAAACACACTAAGACAAAATAGCAGTTATGTTCACCATTAGATGTATACTGTACAGTATATACATATATCATAATCATGTTGGTGTTTTTGAGATATGACACCAGATTATGGATTAAATTTAATTGTATTTATTCCAGTCTTACTGTTTCTTAATTACACCCAAAATATATGTATTTGAGACATTTAAAACATCTAGGGTTGAGAAACATTGCTATTCTTCCACATAGAAATATTTAGAGTTTACAGTTTTTATTCTACTGGACTGTATTTAATTTAAAAATGGGTTTATCTGATCTTATGTTAGTTGTACATACTTGTTTATTCCTGCAGCCTATTTGCACAACTATGTCTATTGCAATATTTGTTTTAATGTTGAATTTATCACATGTTCAATTTTTAGATTGAATAAGATTTCCATTCATTGCCAAGCTGTAGCTGTTATGCACATACTGTATGAACAATAAAGCTGTTGAACCAAATGTTTGGAATCTATTCAATACTTTACGTCAGGGCTATTCAATTGGCGGCCCGCGGGCCAAATCCGGCCCGGGTGATATTTACTGGCCCTTTGAGAATAATGTTAAAAAGTAATCGACTAAAAGAAAAAAAAATCGAAAAATCTTTTTCCCGGCCCCTTGCTTTGGATCATTTTCATCAACCGGCCCCCATTCCAAACTAATTGAATAGCCCTGCGTTACGTCATCAATACGTCCTAACATGTTTATTTTGCATTATCAAAGAGACAGAAAGAGAGAATAGGAGGTGTGATTCATGTGAGTTTAAGGACAGAAAAGCCATTAAAGACAATCATTATGGATCTATTACATCCAAGTTCTTTGCTTTTTGATTGCCTCTTCTGTCTAGAGCAGGGGTGCCCAACCTTTTTTGAACCAAGAGCTACTTTTAAAGTTGCCAGTCTGCCGAGATCTACCAGTCCAAATAGAGAGGCGTAGCCATTACTGATAGCCTCCAGATAAATACACACTTCTACTTGTATAAAACTGACCTTTGTACGATTAATACTTCATAAAATACTGCAGATCCTTTATCTTACCTCTTTCTAGTCTACACACATACAAGTATTTAACTGAAGTTACACAACAGTGTTGTTGATACAGTTGGAGTTTATTCACACGTCACTACAGTGGGTAATGTTTTCAAGAAACATTGAACAGTGCTGCCACATATGACACAGGACAAAAGAAAAGACTCTGAACCCTTTCTTTGCCATTATATAAAAATAGTGTTGCTACAAAAGTATAAATTAGGCTTACTAATAAGACAACTCAGATCTGAAGCTACACAATAAAAAAGACAAAATTAATAGAATCAAACCCTTTTTTTTGTAGATTATAAAAATAAATGCCTTTAAAATAGGATGCAAGCAACACTAGTTTCTTAACCTGAATTGATAATAGACTATAATCAATTTAAGTTTGCATTCTTATACCATTTTGTACAATAATTATAATGACTAAGTTCAAACAAACTCAAACTTACAGCTGATTAATAACGGTATCTAACTTGAGTTTTTATCATATCAAAAACCTGTTGAAATGCTACTGTTATTTTTATTACGCATCCGCAGCCTCCAGGAATGCTTCTTTCACAACTTCACCGTCTTTGAAAGACTTCATGTGTTTCTCAAGAACGTGCCTGACACGATAAGATGCTCTGGTAGCAGCCTTGCTCTTGTTGTTGAGCCTGGTGAAAATGGACTGCTGTGCATTTAGCTGTCCTTTCAGGCCCCTCCCCTTTTGGAGCGTAGGGCAGGATTAGGAGGGAATTCCGTCTCGTAGCGTTTGTGCACTGTTTTGAAATGCCGCTCCTAAATTACCCTTCTTCGATAAAGCCACGCTCGCATTGCAGATGAGACAGATGGACTTTGAATTGGAATAGATACAAAAATAATCATCCTCCCACTCGGAGTGACAATTATATATGTTTTGCTTCTGCCATAATTGCGGTCTTGTGTGTGTGCGGACTGTCACTCCTGGTGTTGACACGGACAACGTTAGCGAACTAGTGCACTGCCCACTGCCCACCAGCCACGCCCCGACACATGGGGTCACGCCGGCCAATCATAAAGCTTTGATGCGTTCAAGTGCATTATTCTGGCACAGGAAGATTATGTTACAGGACATTAACGATAAAACAGAATATTGTTGTTCTATTTTTAGACACATCTCGCGATCGACTGGGAATCTCCCCGCGATCGACCGGTCGATCACGATCGACTGGTTGGGCACCCTTGGTCTAGTGTGTGTGTGTGTGTGTGTGTGTGTGTGTGTGTGTGTGTTTCTTACTGGTGGGGATCTCAGTGGGACGCTCCACCACAGAGGGTCTCTTCAGCGCAGGTTTGAGGGGTTTTTGAGGGACTGTACGAGTAGGACTGAAGGAGGACTCCTCAGTGGAGATCTGCACACAAACAAAAAACACACACATTAGAAAACAACACTCAAACACACACACCCTATTACTGCTAAAGAGCTCTTTCTGTAGACTCATTAAATAAATAGGTATTTTATTTCCACAGTGATGAGATCGTGGCTAATTTGAAGCAGAAACAGTAGAAAATATATTTTTTAAAAAGACCAAAAGAAACGGTAGTTGAGATCTAAAAAAAAACTCTTCCTCCGTTGGCCTGGATTGTGAGGTTTCATGACTTTCCATGCTGGCATGTCCATGACCTCAAACATATTGTAATGTGAGTTTTGAAGTGCTGGTTATAACCCGAAAATGTTCCGCAGATCAAATGCCTCTCTGAAGATAGTTAGAAATATATTCAGCTGTATTTCTGCGGCCATAAAGCTGCTGGAGAAGAAAGATCAGGGGGGGAGGGGGGGAGAGATCTGTGGTTGATGGGCCATTAGGTGTGGAAACACACAGCTGAGAGCTGCCGTTTCATTCAGACTGTTTAAAAAACGGTAACAACGGACTATTTTTCTTAGCGGATGCATGTCAATTTAAATCAATACATACAACTATTTTTTAAATCAATAAAAACATTTTCTAAATCCATAAAAGCATTTCAATTAATATTGGGAGTCATGTCGTTACTTTGTTGAGAATGTGGCTATGTAATAAGTGGGATAATTTGCAGCGACTTGTTCCTTATGGGGAAAATAACACCCTTCAGCTGATCAAGATCCCTCCGCTACGCGTTGGGATCATAGACTGTATATATAAAGTTCCACACTGGAGCTCATGTGAAATAAAGTCAGATACAGTACGCTGGATGTACACCGGAACTTTGTTAAGATCCATATGTCACGGATGTCATACTCTGTGCTAAATAAGAGACATGTAATCATTTACAAAACATCACCATGTTGTTATTTAACAAAATAATGTTGTTTAGTCGAAAAAAACGAACGGGAGGAAAAGCAGCTCGGCTCTCGATTTTTAATCCTAATTTAATCATCATCTTCACCACGATCATTTATGTTTATGTTCGCCGAATTGACATGAAATCACTGACACATATGAATATACTGTATTCAACTTCATTAAAACGTTATTAACGTGCCTAAACTCAGTAATTCACTACAAATATTTATATTTTAATGGAGCCTCGTCGGCAGATCAGGATCCCAACCTACAGTCTATGGTGTGGAACCCCACTGCACCCCCTGGTGGATCAATGATCCATTGCAGCTGGCGTCATAATAACTACATTTATTTATCACGGGGGAGGTCTCAAGTCAAGCTGGAGGTTTTCCCTTGAGCGAGGGCAGATCACGTACCAATCACGGCCCTCGCGTTTCAAACTGTCTGAAATTAAGCGCTACATCTGTACACTGCTGTCTATGTTGCTTCTGTCTCACACACACTAATGACTCTTTTGCTATAAAGGAACTACAGCACGGTCAAATGACTTCACGTCACCACCGCTAAGCTAAAGGTGGCTAATGCTGGGCTATAAAGGAACTACAGCACGGTCACATGACTTCACGTCACCACCGCTAAGCTAAAGGAGGCTAATGTTGGGCTATAGTCACCACCGCTAAGCTAAAGGTGGCTAATGCTGGGCTATAAAGGAACTACAGCATGGTCACATGACTTCAAGTCACCACCGCTAAGCTAAAGGAGGCTAATGCTGGGCTATAAAGGAACTACAGATCGGTCACATGACTTCACGTCACCACCGCTAAGCTAAAGGTGGCTAATGCTGGGCTATAAAGGAACTACAGCATGGTCACATGACTTCACGTCACCACCGCTAAGCTAAAGGAGGCTAATGTTGGGCTATAAAGGAACTACAAATCGGTCACATGACTTCACGTCACCACTACTAAGTTAAAGGTGGCTAATGTTGGGCTATAAAGGAACTACAGAACGGTCACATGACTTCACGTCACCACCGCTAAGCTAAAGGACGCTAATGCTGGGCATGACGACATTTAATCGTCTAATTTAGACACTTGTTAGCATCCTCCGTTTTTAAATTCACCAATGGGGCATTTACTGACATATTTTATGTCGTAGTACAAAACTTTAAAATCTCTTCAGCTTGTTTTAACCACAACTCTTATTTAAGGCTTCTAACCCTAACCCAACTTGAACCAGAAGTGATAAATGCTGACTCTTTTCTGGACTCATTCCTGCACATCTCCATCAGTCTAAAGTGTCTCTGTATCCCTCTCTCTGTGACCTCTGACCTGGAAGCGGACCTCCTGGCTGGCGCGCTGCGTGCCGTCCTCGCTGCCCAGGTTGGAAACCACGGACAGACGTTTCTTCTCCTCCATGGCTCGTTCCCGGATGAACTCGAGACGTCTCGATCGCCCGAGCTGCATCGATAGCAGAGCCTGAAGCTGAGCGCGCTCGATGGAGCCAAGCAGGATCATGGACTCTGGAGAGGAGACGAGAGGAAAAGCACAATACTTTATTAACTCCCCGGGGGAAATTTGGTTTTCAGACGGATGCTCCATTTTAGAATGACAACAAATATTAAATTAAAGATTTGTATTTAAACATCAGAAGTTAAAGTAAAAAATATGCAATAAGAAGATATAAGAAAATAAAATGAAACATTAGAACAAATATTTCAAATTATAAACCCCAATAACTATTGGTTATTGCTTATAACAATATATACATGGTGCATTTGTACTAATAAAGATATGAATCATGAAAAACTGATAATTGCTTCTTTTTTTTAATGCATTGTGAACTCTACCTGTGCTTTTTATATTAGTCTTGAATTTCTAATGTTTACTGATTGTGCTGTTCTGTTCCCCGTCTTCTTCACCTGTTCAATGTACAGTGTAATACAGTAATTAAACTAACTTTTAATAGTATTTTTAAGTGTTTTTTTTGCGGTGAGGTGAAGAAAAGGGGAGTAGGAAGGAAAATGTATCGAGCAGTTTTGTGGAAGAAAGCTAATAGAAAAAGAGGAAAGTGGATATGAGAAGGAAGAAGGAAATGGTGAAGGAAAGCTCAGCTGAGTTACATAATAAGGATGCAGTGAATGTGTGTGTGTGTGTGTGTGTGTGTGTGTGTGCGGCCTAGTATTACTATACTTGTTTTTTGGGTGAAGACTTGGTAAGGGTTAGGCATGTATTGGTTATGGTTAAGTTTAGGATAAGTCTCCAGGAAATGCATGTAAGTCAATGTAATGTCCCCTGAAGTGATGTATACATGGTATGTGTGTGTGTGTGTGTGTGTGTGTGTGTGTGTGTGCTGTCTTGCTTTAGTTAATTGCTGTAGTGAACGTACTCGCCGATTGTGTGTTCGGTTAAATGCCGCAGCTAATTGTTCCGGCAAGATTACATAATTAAGACGGGGTTGGAATACTAAACTCTCACTTCAGTGAGTTGGCGTCAGAAAGATGTTCCCGGGGAAGTCTGTCAATCAATCAACCGACCAATCACGTACTCTAACGAGCCACCAAGGTTGCTAGGTTTGTTTTTTGTGCACAATGAAATGATGCTCAGTCCAACGTGATCGAAACCAGAGATGGATATTAATAATACATTGGATTTTTTTATAGCGCTTTTCCTAATGCTCAAAGATGCTTGGTGCTAAGATATGACCTTCATCTGTTTTGTTATACACTGTGGTACAATATGTACTTTTATATTGATCCATTTGTGGACTAAAAGCTCCTGAAGTAATGAGATATTTTCCCTTGTCACTGTTTTAACGTGGTTTGAGGAGCATTGAGACTTCTTTGGGTATCCTATTGTTGTGAAATTGAAAATATTTGTGACCCAGATAGTGCGTACGTGCCATACGTCTCACCGACTGACTTCACCAGGGAGAGGGTCTTCAGGTGTCTAAGTTAATAAACTTATAGTAACACTTCTTTGCACTGGCTTTTAATTCTAGTTGAACATAACATTTTAACATTTGAATGTGTTTTATTTGTTCCCTGTACAGCACTTAAGTCAACTGAGGTTGTTTTAAATGTGCTATATAAATAAATAAAGATTGAGATTGACTTCTTTGGGTCTTTGCTGCAAATCAGCTCACAATTAACGCAATGTTTGGAGTAAAAGCCCCTGGTGTAATGGCACTTTCGCCTTGTTGCATGTGTTTTAATGTGTCTGTTGATTGTGGATATATATATAGGTGTATACATATTTGTATATATATTTGTTATAGTATTCAGGATTGTGGAAAACGGTATTTCGATCTCTCTGTCTGTACAAACTGAAAGATTGACAATAAACTTGACTGACTTTTGATCTTTTGCTTTGTCACTTGTTGCATGTGTTTTAACGTGGGTTTGAGGAGCAGCGAGTTGTTTGAGTCTCTTAGTGTGGTTAAATACAAAATATATGTGTGGTATGTCTCACCGATGGACTCCACCAAGGCGAGGGTCTTCAGGTGTCCCGTCAGCAGGACGTTGTGCAGGTCTCTGTAGCAGCAGTTCAGCGTGATGTACCGGACGTCCCGTATCATGATGTCCTCCACTCGAATATTATACTTCCTGAGAGGAAGAAATGAGAGGAGGATCATGAGAGGAATTTATCAAGTGGTTATCGTGATAAAGGATAGAGGACAGGTGAGAAAAACAGTCAAAAGAATAAGAGATATGGTCTAAACGTATACACTACTTGCTTAAACGTAGACATTGACACTTTTTCTGAGGAATTATCAAGCCTCTAAAGTCAATCAATTACAATTTCTGCGTGTTTTACGGGTGAAGTGCGATAGATTTATACGTTTTCCTTTGTTCCCACTGCAATAAACAAGCTTTATTCACACACAAATTACACTTAAAAAGTACAACAACATAACACAAAAAAAGCACAAAATAATTGTTAAGCTTTGGAACAAATAAATAGTTGCAATAATGTGATACTGAAATTACAAACAATTCTGCCTATTGGAGGGAAGGATACTATTTCATACAGTATTTAACTATCATTGAAAAATATACTCAATTATTGTAGGTGTGACTTGTCATCGAAACATTATTTAATTCAGATTATTTCACCATATCTGAAATAAATATTGCTCTAGTCCAGTGGTTCCCAACCTGGGGGGCGCCAAAGATCACAGGGGGGGCGCCAAAGATCGCAGGGGGGGCGCCAGGCCTCAGATGATTTGAGGCCAAATCTCATATTTAGATTTTTTTTTTACATATAATTCTAAGGCAATACATGATTGTCACTAAAAGCCTTGTCTCTACATTACAATAAAATATAAATAATTGATTCATTCATTTGAATACAAATTCAAGTTAGTATTAAAGGCATAAAAAGACAGAAATGTATAATTCTTTCTATAGAAATGTTTCTTCTGCCCGTAAAGTGTCCAAACCAGGCTTTTCTGGATAAGCGCATTTTTAAAACATAGTCATTGTCCATGACGGGTTCAGTTGGATTATTTGTCAGTTGCTCCGATCAGATCGCTCTCCTCCATTTTGTAGATTATTTACGACTTTTGAATCCACATAAACACATCGGCAAAATCCGGCTTACTTTGAGCATGTGTTTTAAACAGTTTAATCCCTTTGTGAATTGTTTCCACTTCCGCCGTCCTTTCATTTCTCCATACAGCGGGAATCCAAATGAATTAATCCTGAGTCCAATAACCATCAAAGTCACTCCAATAGTGCTCCTTGATTACGCTTTCATCCTCCTTTAACAACATACTTCACATTCATCCAGTTTGTGACAGAAGTTGTAGCATTTTGAGACTTTAATTACCACCCCCCCCCCCCTTGTGTGTGTGTGTGTGTGTGGGGGGGGGGGGGGGGCCGCAACTTCCAACAGGAGTCATTTGGGGGGGCTCTTGGGAAAAAAGGTTGGAACCCCCTGCTCTAGTCGATAATGCAATTTCAATAACAAATGTCCAATAATTTTCCAGCACCTTATCGTTCTGTGTTTTCACTTGTTCCTTATGATGCTCTGATACAAGTTGCATTTCCCTCCTCTAGTGGTACAATTAAGATAAACTGAAGAGTTTTCAGTTTGTTCTACACTAATCTATGAGCACTCTCCCTCAAAGCCAACACACATCCTTCCTTTATCTGACCGCTCAATAACACCCTGCTCCGTACAGTGGAGAGAAGTGTGTGTGACATTGTGTGAGCAGATCCAGCCTCAGCAGAATCAAACTCTCAGCTCTCTCTTCCTGTCCGCGCCGGCCAAAAGCTGCGAACACTCAGCAGCCGATTCATGTTTCCGTGTTTCCGTGTTTCTTCTGCCAAGCCTCGCGGCCGTGCCAGGGCTCGGGCTGCGGCCAGGACTCTGCTGCTTGTTGTGGTGACAACTCAATACTCTGACCTCTCTCAGAACACAAAGTTAATTTGATGACCATCCGCCCGGGTCTGCACTTTAAAACTACAAGCCTGGAACATTGGTCTGAGTACAGCAGCAGGAAATGGCACCAATAGTGCAATAGTGCAGGAATGAGGCGTAAAACCCAAAGATTACTCGACATTTTACCACTTCCTGTTCCCTCATCTCGAAGTCAATGGTTTTTTGAATGTGTTTTTGGTTTTTAGTATGAAATATGGTCTGAGGAGTTTTAAACGTTTTGTCCTAGAATATAAAATACGTCAGTAAATACCCCACTGGTGGATTTAAAAACAAGTGTTTGACGTGAAGTCATGTGACCGTGCTGTAGTTCCTTTATAGCCCAACATTAGCCTCCTTTAGCTTAGCGGTGGTGACGTGAAGTCATGTGACCGTGCTGTAGTTCCTTTATAGCCCAACATTAGCCGCCTTTAGCTTAGCGGTGGTGACGTGAAGTCATGTGACCGTGCTGTAGTTCCTTTAAAGCCCAACATTAGCCTCCTTTAGCTTAGCGGTGGTGACGTGAAGTCATGTGACCGTGCTGTAGTTCCTTTATAGCCCAACATTAGCCACCTTTAGCTTAGCGGTGGTGACGTGAAGTCATGTGACCGTGCTGTAGTTCCTTTATAGCCCAACATTAGCCTCCTTTAGCTTAGCGGTGGTGACGTGAAGTCATGTGACCGTGCTGTAGTTCCTTTATAGCCCAACATTAGCCACCTTTAGCTTAGCGGTGGTGACGTGAAGTCATGTGACCGAGCTGTAGCTCCTTTATAGCCTGAAGTTAGTTTCTGGAGATTGCATTATCAAGATGTCTGTTTTTTGTAAACTAATCGCAAAATAAAATACATAACTTCTCAGTCATCAGAAGACATTTTCCTCCATGACTAATCTACTGTTATCACTGAAATCAACTAAATTAAATGAATGGGATAAAGCTTAAATCACTGCTATAGGGTTTGATAGAAAGATCAGAAAAATATACATAAAAAGGACCTTTTAAAAAACACATCCCTCTTAAAGAAATCTCCCTCTTTCTGATCCATTTTAATTTGCTATGGATCCGTTTAATGTGTGAACTGACCACAGCCGCTGCCAGCACTGATTTCCCTCAGGACATCAAAAGGCAGTTGATGAAATCTGATTGGTTTCGTCTTAATTGAACCTTCCCTCCTGCAACGCTCGGCAATACATATGATCAGTTGGAGGTATCTCGCTTTAAGCCTCAAGCTTATAGATTTTGAGCCAAGATAAACCGACTAATAGGGTTATAAATCCTGGCTTACAGATCATCCATATTGTCCAGAGTGGAGTGGAGAGGCTAAGGGCGTTGATGTGTATTAATGTGTGTGTGTGTGTGTGTGTGTGTGTGTGTGTGTGTGTGTGTGTGTGTAGGGGGAAGTATAGAAGCCAATAAAAGCTTGAAATGATCCGTAGGAATATGTGAAATACGATCGTCTCCTGTGGCTTTGCTCAGACAAACAGAGACAACAATTTAACAAACAATAATTGGCTGTTATGAAATGCTAGGAAAACAAATGGCACAGAGCGACTGATGTTATGCACTTATATCATACCTCCTGAGAGGAGAAAGAGGACGAGAGAACAAATAAATATGAGCAGGAACATGAGGGGAATATATAATGTGGTTATGGAGATAAGGGAAAGAGGTCTACGTTAAGAAAAAGAAGAACAAATATGGATCCATTAAATAATTCAAATAACATTTGGGCCGAAGAGTGGGTGTTTCTGTGTGTGTGTGTGTGTGTGTGTGTGTGTGTGCGCACGCGTGTGTGTGTGTGTGTGTGTGAATGTATGATGAAAGCTTGGGGACTGATATACCAAATTGGCTAAAGTTCAAAATTGATTTTAAATGCACACATTTTAACTTTTTTCGGGGGGTTTCTGGATGAAAATGATCGAAAGATAATATATAAGATTATTTTGTTGGGTTAAATATTTATTTTTAAGCCCCATCAAAGAGTGAGCTGAATCTAAGGTTTCTAAAATGAGCTGATTATAGTCTCCTTGTCATCTGTGTTTTTGGTTCTGGTTCTGTAGATCCAGTTATTTTTAAATATTAAAAGGATCCTATTACCTGAGTGTGTCTATTATTAATTATTTAAGATCATTCTCATCGTTAATTTTTTTTTTTTGTCAGCTGTTTTTCTAATTTATCTGATCTCAAATCTCTAACTGGCTGTTATGAAACGCTAAGAAACACCGTGTGACAGATAGTGAAACAAACAACACACACAGACGGATGTTATGTAATTGTTCCCACACTTGAAATGCCACTCAAACACTGAAGGGGAGAAGACAAGAGGCGGGTGTGAGAAAGGTTTCATATAGAGCTGCACAATTAATCAAAATGTTATCGAAAGTGCAATTATGGACACGTGCAATATCTAAATGACAGTATTTGGTAAAGACAGGAGACGCAGAAAAGCCCTGGTGTTGTACAGACTTAATAGAAACATTTGTGTTTGGTACAGATTCTCAGATTAGATCATGTTTTTCATTGGTGATGTTTATAATGTTTCAAAACGATCATCCAGGTTGTCCTTTAGCGATCAATCAGCTTTGTTTTTTGACATTTCTAGAGGCAATTCAAAAGGAAAACTTGACTCGAGCATCCAGGAGGTACGTGCCTTTAATGCAGTGTTTCTCAAACTTTGTCACACCAAGGACCACTTAACCAATAAAAAAACACTCGCGGACCACCTAACTCCACAAATATAAAAAAACACATCGTTTTTCTAGAACAGATTACAAATCGCCTGAAAATGGTACAAACAAGTGGCAACATGTGTGATGAAGGTGTTGCGCTGGGCTATATCATGCAATCGAAAGTGAAACTTAAGCTCGCTCCATTGCTGAGATATTCCCGCGAGAGTGCGGAAAACTGAAATGTATTTATTTATTTCAAATGTGAAATGTTACCAATATACTCACGGACCACTAGGGGGCGGTCACGGAGAAGCACTGCTTTAATGGCAGTACAAAACAAATAGGAGAGGACCCGACGTAATAAATAAGTGAGTAAAACTACCAAAGAAGAATAGAACAAAGGTTGTAGCTCCATATTAGCTTCACATTACAAAGTATAGATAATAAATATCCATAAACCTAAACACAAAGGCAATTAAAGGAATATATAATGGGGATAAAATATACATTTGATTTGTTTTCAAACAAGAGATTTAAAGAAAGGCTCAGAAATAATATCAAAATTGCAATATCAGTCAAAATAATCGCAATCTTTTTCCAAATCGGGAAGCTCTAATATCACATGTGCTGTTCTGGTTCTGACTAAAAGAAGAAGCAGGAGATATTCCGTACATGTGATCTGTGTGTGTGTGTGTGTGTGTGTGTGTGTGTGTGTGTGTGTGTGTGTGTGTGTGTGTGTGTGTCATATCTTCAAAAGCTCTACATAAATAAAAGATAAGAAAAGCCAATTCCCTCCATGTCCGTGTGGGTGCGTGAGCAAATGTAAATGCCACATTATGTGTGTATCGCACGGCAGGTGTTACACAAGTGTTCCTGTGTGTGTGTGTGTGTGTGTGTGTGTGCGGACACTTGCGTGGGTGTGAGATGGATCATTTCCAGTTTGAGTGAAAAACACATTCAGCTTGGACGGGGCAAGGCTGTCATCCCCCCGCACCTCAGCTCTTGTATGCGGCAGTTATCACACACACACACACACACACACACACACACACACACACACACACACACACACACACACACACACACACACACACACACACACACACACACACACACACACACACACACACACACACACACACACACACACCACACACACACACACACACACACACACACACACACACACACACACACACACACACACACACACACACACACACACACACACACACACACACACACACACACACACACACACACACACACACACACACACAGAGGGTCAGCGGAGGTCCTGAGAGAGAAAGTGACGGAGCTGAAACTCTGCAGAGGACGATCACAGAAACTGATGAACAGATGGAGGATCAAATAAATGTTTTCCTCATTACTCACCATTTGTAAACGATGCATCCGAGCTATTGTCTCAACCTAATGATTTGCCAAAATCTCAATAATCGTCTGAGAACAATCACATTTGAAATGCCTCGGCAGCGAGCTCGGAGGACAAGGAGCAGCTGGTAATCCCAGTCAGTATTGTGTTAATAAATATTAATGGAAATGAAAGCAATCACAAAACAATGTGACCGTGAATCCTTTAGCTGGAAACCTCTAGCGTGTTAAAGCCAATCTCTCTCAGTGGTTTCAGAAGGTTTTCTTCAATCTCATTTCTACAGTATTTGCAGATTCCATTTAACAATAATGACTTTAAACGTTTAACAGTCACGATATTAATATTGAGCGTTGTTCTGTTTTTGAGCTGTAACAACATATCAAATGTATTGTTATGTGAGATAACATTAATCTGTTTGCATCTTGCAAATTATCTATCTATATATTATTATATAAATATATATATACATTACATATATATTTTAGGGCTGTCAGTCGATATATATATAATATTTAATCAGATAAAAAATGTGCGATTAATTTGCGATTAATCGCGCATTTTTGATCTGTTCTAAATGTACCTTAGAGGAATATTTTTCAAGTTTTTAATACTCTTATCAACATATGAGTGGACAAATATGCTTTATGCTAATGTTTATTATCATTTGAACAATGACAAATATTCTCATGAATATTAAACACAACAACCTGTGTGTGTGTGTGTGTGTGTGTGTGTGTGTGTGTGTGTGTGTGTGTGTGTGTGTGTGTGTGTGTGTGTGTGTGTGTGTGTGTGTGTGATGGATCATTGGAGCTATGTGCAACTCAAGGCATATGCTCGAACGGGAGCTGCAATCATGTTGCGCACTATCCGAGCTGAGTGTGCTGACTTCTCGTACAATGTCCCACTGTCTGGCTTCCTGCATAAAGTCAAGTGCTCGGCGCAGTTGTGGCGAAATGTCGCTCCTCTGTTTTCATTGAAACAGCTCCATATCCGTTAGCGCAGCTAGCTAGCACCAGATGCTAACAACAACAATACACGTAAGGTCTCTCTCTCGCTCGCTCGGGCCACACATACACACACCCTCCCGGTCCTCCCGATAGCCAGTCGGTGCCTGCTGGTGAGCGTGGAAGTGTGGTCTGCCACAAGCGGGCGGCAGGAGCGGGGCTGTCAGCATCAGCTTGTAGATGGTATTTTAAACTCGATGCGCTCTGAAACTACGGGGCGGCCGAGGACAAAAAATACGCATGCGCTAATCGCGTTAAAATAATTAGTGGCGTTAATTTTGTTTTGCGTTAACGCGTTATTAACGCGTTAATAACGCGTTATTAACGCGTTAATAACGCGTTATTAACGCGTTATTAACGCGTTAACTTGACAGCCCTAATATATATATATTATTTGTTGTTTTTCTTTTCACTATATCTGTAAAGCGTCTTTGAGCACCTGTAAAAGCGCTAACAAAATAAATCTATTATTATATTATTATTATATCATATTCCATGTACTTGTATATAGACTCTTCTTGCACTATTTCTATTTTATTTGTATTCACTTGCACATTAAAAAAATTTCTTGCACTATTTTATTTGTTTTATGTCCTATATATATTCATGCTGCTCTGTTGGAGGGACTGAAGATGTTCATTGCCATATCTACACTGTAGCTGCTGACATGACAATAAAGCTTTGAATCTTGAATCTTGAGATGAGTGCGGGCACAATTCACTGCACTTACCAAGTTAACTGGCTGTTTATCCTTAATTCAATTTACTCTGTTAATTTCCCATCCTATAGTGACCCATTTTATGACTTGGTTAATCTCCAATAGTCAAGTATTCGCAACATTAATATTAAACATTGCTTTTTTTTCTTGCGATACTTGCTGCTGAAACGACGTAATGGAGTCTTTTCCCATACTGTATTCAGAGAAACACTTTTTCCACCCGGCCAGTGGAGAAAAAAACAAACTAACAACATTTGTTAACCAACTTAGAGTTGGACGTGTTTGTCCAACTCCTTCAAAGACACTTGTTCATGCTTAGTAACAGAACATAGTTGATATCTAATATGGCATTGTGATAATCCAAACAGGATTACATGGATTACAACCGTACGTAAATGTGCAAAGAGTAAAGTGAAAGCAAACATATGAAAAGGTGACATGTGCCCTAGTGTTGCACGGTGTACCGATACTTGAAAGGTACCGCGATACCCTGCCGTTAAAAACGTTACGATTCCTCCGTTTCATTAGTATCGGTACTTTAAGAATGACGGGGGAAAGTACTCCGGTGAGAAAGCGCCGTTTTAATAAGAGCCGTGTGTGTTCAGCGCTCTGCTCCGTGCCTGCAGTCCCTCCCCTCTCAAGCACGCTCTAAGTCCCGCCCCTCTCAAGCACGCTCTAAGTCCCGCCCCTCTCAAGCACGCTCTAAGTCCCTCCCTCTCAAGCACGCTCTAAATCCCCCTCTCAAGCCTCTAGTCCCACCCCTCTCAAGCACGCTCTAAGTCCCTCCCCTCTCAAGCACGCTCTAAGTCCCTCCCCTCTCAAGCACGCTCTAAGTCCCCTCCCCTCTCAAGCACGCTCTAAGTCCCCTCCCTCTCAAGCACGCTCTAAGTCCCTCCCCTCTCAGCCGCTCTAAGTCCCTCCCCTCTCAAGCACGCTCTAAGTCCCTCCCCTCTTCAAGCACCGCTCTAAGTCCCTCCCTCTCAAGCACGCTCTAAGTGCCTCCCCTCTCAAGCACGCTCTAAGTGCCTCCCTCTCAAGCACGCTCTAAGTGCCTCCCTCTCAAGCACGCTCTAAGTGCCTCCCCTCTCAAGCACGCTCTAAGTGCCTCCCCTCTCAAGCACGCTCTAAGTCCCTCCCTCTCAAGCACGCTCTAAGTCCCTCCCTCTCAAGCACGCTCTAAGTCCCTCCCCTCTCAAGCACGCTCTAAGTGCCTCCCCTCTCAAGCATGCTCTAAGTGCCTCCCTCTCATGCACGCTCTAAGTCCCTCCCCTCTCAAGCACGCTCTAAGTCCCTCCCCTCTCATGCACGCTCTAAGTCCCTCCCCTCTCAAGCACGCTCTAAGTCCCTCCCCTCTCAAGCACGCTCTAAATCCCTCCCCTCTCAAGCACGCTCTAAGTGACTCCCCTCTCAAGCACGCTCTAAGTCCCTCCCCTCTCAAGCACGCTCTAAGTGCCTCCCTCTCATGCACGCTCTAAGTGCCTCCCTCTCATGCACGCTCTAAGTCCCTCCCCTCTCAAGCACGCTCTAAGTCCCTCCCCTCTCAAGCACGCTCTAAGTGCCTCCCTCTCATGCACGCTCTAAGTGCCTCCCTCTCATGCACGCTCTAAGTGCCTCCCTCTCATGCACGCTCTAAGTCCCTCCCCTCTCAAGCACGCTCTAAGTCCCTCCCCTCTCAAGCACGCTCTAATAATCCAGTGATATTAGTGATAATCCAAACAGGATTACATAAAAAAAAAAAAATAAAAATAATAATATTTTTATAGCGCCTTTCAGGAAACCCAAGGTCGCTTTACAAGTCGAGTAGGGGGGGGGGAGTAGGGGAAAAAAGGCAGACAGGTTAAGGGGGTGTGGGGGGTAAGTAGCGGAAAAATAAACCTATTAAACTAACTATACAGTGGCGAAAGCCTTGGTAAAAAGGTGCGTTTTGAGGGCTTTTTTGAAAATGTCCAGGGTTGTACATGGATTACAACCGTACGTAAATGTGCAAAGAGTAAAGTGAAAGCAAACATATGCAAGATGTTCTGTTTCTAACAATATCATGCTAACTAGTTAAAAGTTAGTATAGTGTTTGTGTGTATGTGGATGACATGAGTAATGCTCTGTGAACATGAACATGTGCTTCCTGCATCTTTCCAGCTCACCTCTTAGCATGTTATGTTTTGAATGTTTAATCTATCTTTGTACTAAGTTAAGCTAAGTCAGCTGTAGATTCATCCTCAATTCAATTTTCTCTGTTAATTCCACATCCTATAACGACCTATTTCAATGTATTACTTAATAGTCAAGTATTCGCAATATTCATATTAATCATTGCTTTGCCGCTGAAACAAAATATCATTTGTATCATTCATGTGAGATGTTAATGTGTGCGGGCGTGTTTCGCTGTACGTACTCGTGGTGGCCCCAGCCCAGCTCGGGGAGGTAGGGCAGCTTCTTGATCCGGATGATGGAGTCGTAGAGCGACGGCTGCAGCGATTGGGCCACGGCGTTGGCCAGGATCACGGCGATCATCACGGGCAGGATGTGAGAGATCTGGCCCGTCAGCTCAAACACGATGACGGCCGTCGACACCGTGTGGGTCACCGCGCCCGACAAGGCCGCCGCACCTTTGGGTGGAGAGAGAAACACACAGAGGAGAGGAGACATTGTTTGGATCAGTGGTTTTCAAGGTGAGGTCTGGGTGCTAAATAAAGGAGGGCCTTGGAGGGGTTTCAGGGGCATCATCCATCACAATGAAAACGGTTTCAAATGACCAAGAAGCTGCATTCCTATATATCTTTCCAGCAATGTAACATTCGTTTGCACTAAAAGGCCTTACACTGATGCCTTTCCTGCTAACACTTTATCTTAATTAACCCTGCCAAAAAACACGCTTTCAAATGTTTGTATTTCATTATATTTTCATGCGTTTTCTGTGGCAGGTAATCTCTCCATTTAGTGGGGAAATAAATACACTGTCAGAGAGAATCCAACACACCTACTGTCCTAAAACTGTATAAAAACACACAAATAAATAAACAATGATACATATGAGGCTGTGGCTCAGTGGATAGTATGCTTGTAACTGTAAGGGAAACTTCTGCAGCAATGGAGAGTTGGAGCTTTGATGTCAAACAATGATAGTTTATTGCAAGGATACGGCCGGAGAATTCACATCACAAGTCACAGCAGCAAAAGGTTCTGACTGCACGGGTGGGTTGTCATGTCAATTCTGATCTTTTAACTAGTTTACAGAGAGTTAATGAGCATATTGGGGAGTGAACACCTGGAGACACTGAATCACTTATCTGACTCTTTGGCTCTGTGACCGAGAGTTGACCGGTCATAAAACTGGTAATGTCAACAATAGCTGAGACTTCCCATTCCTTAAGACAGATAACAGACTTATGGTTCGTCGTAAATGTCAACACACAGAAAAGGTTAAATATCTTAGGAGTATATTCTTACTTATGAGTAAGACAGAAATATTCCCTTACAGTAACCAATTCCATTTCACTTTAAATTCCCCGCGAGTAAGTCACACGTCTCCCGCTTGTCGCTATATTATTAATTTGGCTGCTACGCTGCTGCACGCGGAGTGTCCTGACCTGGCTGTGTTTCAGCCCCGCCCCTCACAGCGCACCTAGCTAAAATGCTGGTCACATCCTCATGTAAACGGCAATTTATCGAGCTCAGAAAAGTTATCGAGTCCATTTTTATTTATCGTACGATAAGTCAATTTATCGATTATCGCGACAGGCCTAAATATGAGTTTCTGTTTTATCATAAGCATGGATGGTCATTCAGTTAATCTGCTGCCACCACAGAAGAGTACACAATATCAATATGACTCTAATTCTGTTCAATACGATCATATACAGCATTATAGAGCAAGCCCATTCAACCATAACACTTTAAAAATAACTAACTCAAACATTTTCATCCATTTTCTGGCTCTCTCATCCCAACAAACCAGATTTCCTCTCCCCACAATCTTATTTGTCCATATGGCAAACATCGACTTATTCAAAGCAAACCTACATTTTTTCACCCCCCCAAATAAAGTGTTGTGAAGAAAGAGCAATTTGAAAAAGCAGCATGAGGTAAATGGTGCCTTCACTGCTCAACAGAGAAAATTAACGAGTGCAATCTGATAAATGAGATGAGAAACATAATACAGTAGAGAATGAAAAAGCATTAACGTATAGTGCAGAGAGAGGAGAGCAGATGGTGGGTGTGAGACGCGCTCATTGTTCTTTTGTGTAACATCATTAGGCCTGAACGCGCCTCTCCTCCTCTCATGAATGCTTCTGCCAATCCTAACGTTTCACCCTTAAAGCGAGAGGGTGAGAGATGAGAGGTCTGAGTCACCAGCTACTGTGCAACAACAGATAAACAACAACAACAACAACAACAGGGAAACAGAGTCACGATGAGCACGGCTGTCAACAGGTCGCACAGCGGAGGACGCACAACAACAAGAACAACAACAACAACTCAATCTCGAGGAAAGCTGCTCCAGAGCCACTATTTCAAGCATACTACGTCATCGAGTGCCACCGAAGGACTGTTCCAATGTCCAGCATACTTGGAATTCTACCGAGCCCTGCGTACTTCGTTTGGAGAAATTTCGAGGCTGCACATGTGTAGACTCCGGTCTTAAAATCCCCACAATGCTTTGCGCACGGACCAATTTCCCCAAATCTGTGGCGGAACATTTAAGGCGGGGCCTCTCATGTGACGCACACCTTCACACTTGCTCGCCTGTTCCACTCTTCGTTTTCCGAATGCCAGGAAGGATTCTTGCCTCGCTTCTGAAGGAAGTGACTCGGAAGACATGTGCTACCAAGCAAGCGTACTCGACATTGAGAAACACCCTCTGCATCTCATTAGCCACGCTGCTTCATTAGGGGATGAACGTGACGTGGTTCTACATCAACATGTGTCCCCTCTTCTTCATGTCTCTTCTACATCAACATGTGTCCCCTCTTCTTCATGTCTCTTCTACATCAACATGTGTCCCCTCTTCTTCATGTCTCTTCTACATCAACATGTGTCCCCTCTTCTTCATGTCTCTTCTACATCAACATGTGTCCCCTCTTCTTCATGTCTCTTCTACATCAACATGTGTCCCCTCTTCTTCATGTCTCCTCTACATCAACATGTGTCCCCTCTTCTTCATGTCTCTTCTACATCAACATGTGTCCCCTCTTCTTTCATGTCTGTTCTACATCAACATGTGTCCCCTCTTCTTCATGTCTCTTCTACATCAACATGTGTCCCCTCTTCTTCATGTCTCTTCTACATCAACATGTGTCCCCTCTTCTTCATGTCTCTTCTACATCAACATGTGTCCCCTCTTCTTCATGTCTCCTCTACATCAACATGTGTCCCCTCTTCTTCATGTCTCTTCTTCATCAACATGTGTCCCCTCTTCTTCATGTCTCTTCTACATCAACATGTGTCCCCTCTTCTTCATGTCTCTTCTACATCAACATGTGTCCCCTCTTCTTCATGTCTCTTCTACATCAACATGTGTCCCCTCTTCTTCATGTCTCTTCTATATCAACACGTGTCCCTCTTCTTCATGTCTCTTCTACATCAACATGTGTCCCCTCTTCTTCATGTCTCTTCTACATCTACATGTGTCCCCTCTTCTTCATTTCTCTTCTTCATCAACATGTGTCCCCTCTTCTTCATGTCTCTTCTACATCAACATGTGTCCCCTCTTCTTCATGTCTCTTCTACATCTACATGTGTCCCCTCTTCTTCATTTCTCTTCTTCATCAACATGTGTGCCCTCTTCTTCATGTCTCTTCTACATCAACATGTGTCCCCTCTTCTTCATGTCTCTTCTACATCAACATGTGTCCCCTCTTCTTCATGTCTCTTCTACATCAACATGTGTCCCCTCTGTGGAAAGAGACTCTGAAAGTTTCAGGAACAAAGATTCTCTCTCTTTTTGATCCATTTCTATAAAAACCTGTCTGAAAATGAGCTGATCAGATTTGGGCCACTTTATGATGTCATAACGATGTGTTGTCTTGTGTAACCATTAGCCAATCAGCAACCAAGGTAACCCCACCCCCCCCCCTTATCACCTGAATCTCCTCCTAGAGCACCATTGAGTTCTTTGTAACCAAATGTCTCTCAGAGGGGCGTGGGGAGGGGCTCCTTATTTTCATCTAAAGTAACAGACAGAGAATCAGCACTTTGGACACAGGGCTGAAACAGAGGGGATTATGGGTAATGCTGCCATTATCTGTTTGGTGTTTCAGCCAATCAGAGACAGGCTCTGGATATATCTGAGACCTGTGATATATTGATGAAAAACAGTTTAATAGGGGACCTTTACGTGAGTGTGGTTACTGATAGACAGCTAGCGTTGGCAGGACCTAAAATGTATTGCGTTTTTTTCATTTTAACAAATTCCCCATCACGAACTGTCAGCCCTGTAATTCAGATCCGTCCAAATGAACCAGTAGTTTACCCGTAGTTTTGCTGACAAACAAACCATGACAGACACATAACTTCCCTGAAAGAGGTAGTAGAAAAAGGATAATGTTGAGTAGAGAAATAGGAAATACCTAAACAATTAAATTCACTAAAACTGAGCCAGAAGTTGGAGAATACATTCAACTCTATGCCATGTTTTATTCCATGAATCCAGGGCCAATAACAACTCCACTGGTCCACTTTCTTTTCCTTAGTTTTAAATTCACAAGATGCTTTTTCCACTTCTGAACTTTTAAGTAGATCCTGAGCACCCGGGTTGTGAAAGTGTGTTGTTTGTCGGATGGTGTCTGAAATGTTTAGCAGGCATATTTCAAGCTTCTGCCGGACTTAATTTGATTCTGTCTCGAGTGTTTGAGTCTGATCATATCCTGTGCCTCCTTTCATCAGTCTGGTTAGAGTCTTAACCTGGAGCTGTAGGAAATATTTATCTTGATTTATTTTCTTTGAACGGTGTCTAGAGAAGTCTATTTTACTCAAGTGGAGCCACTGATGCCTCACAGGAAATTAATGTAGAGTAAAAAAACACATCGTCTGGATCACAAAACTGATGCAATCACAGATATTTATCATTTAATCCGGACAAAAGTTAATTGACTTAAGAGTAGGGATGGGTATCGTTTGAAATGTATCGATTCCGATTCCGGTTCTGCTTATCGATTCCGGTTCTTATCGATTCCCCGTTTCGATTCCAAAATTGTAAAAGAAAGAGGTCAAACGTTTAGATAACAACAACATCTTTATTCTTTTAAGCTTTAACTGATATTTTTACAAATAAAAAATATACATGCAATACAAATGTATTGCATGTATATTTTAACTGAGCTATGCCTGTGGCTATTAACAGGCATTACACTGTGCCTCGTCTTTTTCTTTCTTAGTGGAGCCTCACTTTAGAGCGTCTACCGCGACCCATCTTTGGTGTTATGAAGTGACTGAGCTCGTGAACTGTCTACGGGAGGAGCCTCGCTGCGGGGCAACTGTGGACCTCTGTCGCCGCAACTTACATGATACCGTTTTAAAAAATGAAGGGCGGTGCCGGCCGTCAGCGTGCCGAGCCGGCCGTCAGCGTGCCGAGCCGGTCGTCAACGGCCCGCTGACGACCGGCCGTTCTGTGATTCTCCAGAACACACAGATGGCCAGTCCGCCCTTACCCTGGCTGTATTCCACCGGGGCGCCGAGGCGCAGACGGACCCGGTGGAATACAGGGTCTACCGCGTTTAGGAACCGTTAAGCAGAACCGAAATTGTGTATTTTGTATGGGTACCCGGCATTTTCTTATCGGTTCTCATCTGGAACCGAGTTTCGGTTCCCAACCCTACTTAAGAGTTATATTTTTTATATCAAACATATATAAGAGGACTTGTAATGCAAACCCTCAATAAAACCATTTAACTGAGTGTTTCATGTCCAAAAAGAAGAACCAGGAAGTGAATCCTTATCATGTTTTTCCTATATTTTAAGAGCTAGAGCAAAACTTAAAATGGCTTTGAGGAAAAGAGTAAAACAAAAACATTATATAACACTTCAGAAAGTGAGAAAACAGAGAGTAGGGTGCCATGTTTGTGACTCTAACTTACCCACGACAGCGTAGCCTCCCGGCACTATCGGGTAGATGGTGCCATCTGTGTGGATGCCATCTGGGAACCAGGCTGCCATGCTTTCTCCAACCAGACGGCCAAACGCTGCCCCTGACACACACACACACACACACACACACACAAACACACAAACACATCACACACACACACACACACACACACACACACACATCACACACACACACACACACACACACACACGACCACACACAACACACACACACACACACACACACACACACACACACACACACACACACACACACACACACACACACACACACACACACACACACACACACACACACACACACACACACACACACACACACACACACACACACACACACACACACACACACACACACACACACACACACACACCACACACACACACACACACACACACACACACACACACACACACACACACACACACACACACACACACACACACACACACACACACACACACACACACACACACACACACACACACACACACACACACTGTTAATTTGTACGCTTTTGTAGTGTTGGTGTGTACATATTTGGACCGATCCAGGCTAGCAGTTTTTACCTAATTTCCAGTCTGTATTTATGCTAAGCTAGGCTAATTGGTCATAATAAGTGTGGTATCAATCTGCTCGTGTACCTCTCAGCAACTTCACTCTCAGACACATATTCATTGGCTGCTCTAACACACACGCTCATGCACACACACACAGCTTCTTATGCTAAGCTATGCTAAACGGCTAAGCTCAAATTAAAACTGTAGCTTCAGTTTTAACTCATATGTAATGGACGTATACAAGTGTGGTATTAATCTACTCTTGTACCTTTCATCGACCTCACTCTCACAGATGCACTTACTTTCACTGCACTACACACACAAACACACACTCACAGGCCGGCACACACACACCGATTCTTACCAATGACGAATACTGGCATGAAGGCTCCGCAGGGCACAGGGATGGTGGTGGCCAGCGCTGACATCCAGAACTAAGGCAGCAACAAGAGAAAGTTAAATAAAAAGAAGAAATAAAAAAGACAGAACATGGTGGCATTTCAATTAACTCTCCACTGCCATCCTGATGATGGAACAGTTGAGTCCTCTATCAGTGAGGAGGCGGCCATGCGGAGCTTATTGCTGAGGTTAGATTGAGCTGTCACTTTCACTCTTCATTTGACAAAGACCCTGCAATGAACCCTGGGTAATGAGCGGCCCACTGATTGGCCGTCACTGTGCAGGGCCAGCGGAAGAGACGGCTAATTAGGAAAAGGCAAACAGAGGGAAATGTCACCACTGACAATGTGTGAGCATTATCGGAAGTTTAAATAAAAAGGTTACACAGATATGAGTCTTAAAGGGGGCTTGGAAAGAAAAAGTAGATTATTAAGATGGTGTAAAAGTAAAGAGATCTAATAAATACTAGTGTGAACTCCTTAGAAGTTACATGTCTCATTAAAATCCAGCTCACACACGAGACAGCTAGGTTGATATGGATCATTTCTACAGTAAATATATGATCAATCATTATATCCTTGACATTGGAATTAGCTGACTAAACACATTTTCAGTGCATGATCACATTGATTTTGAGAGAAGACTTCACATCCAAGGTGTTTGACTCGAATTGAGTAAATACCAACGCACTACACACACAAATTCCTGCGCGAATCGACTTCTAATGAGGGGCAACATTTTGCTTCGTGCTCAATCTGGAAACAAGGCAAGGCAAGGCAAGTTTATTTATATAGCACTTTTCAACACAAGGCAATTCAAAGTGCTGTGAAACAACCAAAAGAACAATTAAATATGAGGCTTAAAATCTGTTTTCACTGTAAACATGCGCTCTGTTGAACTTTATGTGAAGTTATAATTTGAACACAATGTGCACAGCAACACACAGGAAGCCTGGGAGAGAAACTGAGAACGAGATTAACTTCCTGCTTTACTGATATTAGGCATGTACCTTTGCACCTGTTGCCTCGTGTTTTACTTAAACATATACAAGTGGAGTGCATCTATTCATGTAAGTATGTAATAAAATAAGAGTAACTGCAAAATGTTAAGCTAGATGGATATGTGTGTTACTTGAGACACACACACCTTATATTAAATAGTTTGGGCATTTCTGCACAAAAAAACACTTTCATTTTTGCCCTCTCTTACAAAATGTATTTAGGCTATTACAGAAACACACACAACACACACACACACACACACACACACACACACACACACACACACACACACACACACACACACACACACACACACACACACACACACACACACACACACACACCACACCACACACACACACACACACACACACACACACCAACACACCACACACACACACACACACACACACCATGTATACATCACTTCAGGGGACATTACATTGACTTACATGCATTTCCTGGAGGACTTATCTTCTTAACCTTAACCATAACCCAACACATGCCTAACCCTAACCAAGTCTTCACCCTAAAATGAATGATTCCCCTTATGGGGACCTCCATTTTGTCCCCATAAGGGAGGCGAGTCCCCACACGTGACTGTGTAAACATATTTAGGTCCCCACAAGTATAGTAATGCTTGGACACACACACACACACACACACACACACACACACACACACACACACACACACCCACACACACACACACACACACACACACACACACACACACACCCACACACACACACACACACACACACACACACAACACACACACACCCCACACCCACACACACACACACACACACACACACACACACACCACACACACACACACACACACACACACACACACACACACACACACACACACACAGTCTTTCGGCAGAGTTGAACATTTGTGACATTCATTGTTTGCGTGCACAGAAGAAGAAGTATAAATCTGAGTGGTGTACAAGCCATTAGACAAACTTCCTCTGTGTAATAATGTCATGCTTTCAAATAGACTTTTTAATTACACTCATTGCTCCGTCTCTCTCCCTCCGCTGCGTCTATAGTTAGCTGTAATTAAGGCGGCTGCCATGGTGAAGTAATGGATCTCCTCCGGTAACCATACACTGTGTTCACACCTCACACACACACCTCATACACACACATACGAGCGTAGGTGTTCACACACACACACCCACGCTCGCCCTGGTGACTCAGAGACGAGAATCAGAGCTGCCGTCAGAGATTACCAGAACAAAAAAGCAGTTTAATACACGAAAATGGGCCTTATGGGAAAAAGAGACGGAGTAATGTATCTCTCGGATCGTCTTCTTCTTCCTTTTGTAATTCTTCCTCCCACACACGGAGACTGAAAACGTAATAAGAGCTCGAAAGGTTTAAAGGATGTGTGATCTCATAACATAGACTTTCCTTTTATTACAAAGGTCTTGAACTCTGAGGTGTGTAGCTGTCGGACAAAGTGTTTAAACACTGCTCTATAATGCAATTTAATCCATTTGTACATCTGCAATAAGCCATTTTAGACCTCAATTGACTCCATGGGAAGTGTTCATTAAAGACCTTCCAGTGCAGTCAATTACAATAGGCTGGAATAATGGTCATAATTAGTGAAGTTGCACTCTATAAAGCAAATGAGGATAATGTATAGACTGTAAATGCATTCTAATATTATATTTTTAATGCAGATTGGAAGATTTTTGAAGCAAATTTGAAGATTTTTGATGCAATTTGTTAGATTTTTTTATTGAAATTGTAAAAAATGTCAAGCAAATCTTACATTTGTATGCAAATTGTAATGTTTTTTTAATCAAAATGTGATGTTTAAATCGAATTGTGATATTTTTAAAGCAAATTCTAAGATTTTTTATTCAAATCGTTATATTTTTTATGCAATATTTAAAGGGGACCTATCATGCAAAATGCACTTTTCAATGTATTTTCTACATCAACATGTGTCCCCGGTGTGTCGGGGAACTCACGCAGCGTCAGCAAATAAAACCCTCTCTCTTTTCCTCCGTACCCAAATCTCTAAAAACGGGGAACAACGGAGCTGATCCAGATTTGCGTTCAATATGACGTAATATCTGAAATGTGGACCCACGGCCCAATCAGAAACGTTGCTATCAGAAACAATGCCCGACTGTTTTGGACGTAATATGGTCGGTGTTTACATTAGCATCGCTAACACTCAGAGCTAGCTTGTACTGGAGAGCATGTGTGTGAAGAAGCAGGAAGTAAAAAGGAACTCACCTTGTGGTATAACCGGCAAGAGAGAAAGCCTTTGAGCTCCATACTGTTTCAGATCCTTGATAATCCATGATATGGCGTTTCATCACGGCAGCATTTAGTTTAGACAGTAGCTGCCAGGTCCCGCATGAGCTCAGACCCCTCCTCTTTATAAAAAATGTTTTTAGGTTTTATACCCAAATCAGCACTTTAGAAACAGGAAGTGAAACAGAGGGATATGAGGCATGGCTAGAATGATCTGTTTGGTATTTTGAGCAAAACACTTCATAGGCATGTTTTTTATATATTTGTATATATCTGAGACCTGTGCTATTGCCTAAAAATAGCATGATAGGTCCACTTTAAATTTGTATGCAAATTGTAATGTTTTTTTTGATCACATTTTTATATTTTTCAAGCAAATCTTTATATATTTTTAAGCTAACTGTAATATTTTTGATCTAATTTGTACATTTGTATGCATTTTTTGGGGCAAATTGTACGATTTTGATGCACATTTCAGTATCTAAACTACCTCGATGAGCTCGAATGCTGCACCTGTTAGATGTGTAAAAAGAGGGGGCCGAACTACAAAAACAAAGTTGTTAGCAGAGCACCTTCAAGCACCTGTGTCCCTTTCACCTCCCCCATCTGTGCAGACCCCCCTCAGCTCTCCCCCTCTTGTGTTTAAATGGAGCTCCTTACATAAACTACTTAAGACTCCGTCTGTAGAGAGGTGATCTGAACCAGCTGCTTGTTTACACAACAACAACAACAACAACAACGGCACACAGGTGACAGGAAACTGGCTGCAGCTTCTTATGTCCTCAAAGGGAAAGGAGAGTTCACCATGGCAACTGAAGTCATGTGATCAATGTCTGCAAAAACAGTCGCACACAGACCCTGCTTCAGGTCGATGAGGAGGAGACGGACTTTAAGACATTCACACAACCTGTGGCTGGACATATGGTCCGTACTGTATGTTCTGTGCGGTGTTAGAAGAAGTACTTAGCAATAGGAACACACTGTTCAAATACTTAATACAAAGGGAAAGATATAGCAGGAAGTCCCTATCAGTAACAATGCTTTACATGAGATAATGAACTTAACCAGTAGCATAGGACCCTCACTCATACAGATAATCCACCCACATGGTTGTAAACTAACAGTTTTAAATATTTGAGCACCCATGACGAAGCAATATCTTTATTAAAATGCTGCCTCCATCTTCTGTGCATGTTAAAACCCCAAATAAACTAAATATTTAGAACGTAGCCTGTAACCCCACAGAGATATACAAATGTTGCTTAGCTAGCGCTCCAACACATTGCACGTGATAGGCTAAGGGGGCAGGACATCTCTAAGCGGTTGACCATCACAACAGAGCCGGCCAGCTAACCAATCAGAGCAGACAGGGCTCTGGTTTCAGACAGAGGGTGAAAAGAGGGCAGTGTGAGAAGAATGAAGAGCTTTTTGAACATTGGTATCAGTATAGGATAAGAATATTGATTGTTGTTTTATCAGATTTGTAAAACATTGTAAACAAAATACTGATTACATAAGATGACCAAGAAGCTACAGATAACTGCAAACAGGACGAAACTGAAGAGTGAAAGGAGAAGTGAAGGATATGATTTGACTGTCATCTGAGAGCCTCACATTCAGAGGACAGTCTAACGCCCGGGGCCTCAGGGGCCCTCTGACACACACACACACACACACACACACACACACACACACACACACACACACACACACACACACACACACACACACACACACACACACACACACACACACACACCACACACACACACACAACACACACACACACACACACACACACACACACACACACACACACACACACACACACACACACACACACACACACACACACACACACACACACACACACACACACACACACACACACACACCTGTATTAATAAACTCATTCCTCCTTGAACTGATGACAATAATTTCACAACACTAAAAATAGTGTCGTCACAGTCGTTTTTAGTGTGTGTGTGTGTGTGTGTGTGTGTGTGTGTGTGTGTGTGTGTGTTTTCAGGTGTGCTAAAAAGCTACACAGTCTCAGCTAAAATAGTTGCAGTGAACTTTACAAAGAGCAACTTCCACCTTTTGTTCCCTGTTTTTCTAAAGTTACTGCTGTAGTTATTCCATGTCATTGTGAGTCATTTTGTGTCTCTTTATTTCTATGTTCAGTCACCCGTTAATCATCGACTGTCCCTGTTATCATTTTGGGTTTTTTTGTAGTCCTTTTAAATCTTTCTAGATATCTTTTGCAGTCATTTGATGTCTATTCGTAGTTTAATTTTCTCTGTGTTGTTCATTTGTGTTTATTACATGGCTTAGTTGAATACTCGATTCTGATTGGTCAATTCAGAACATGTGATACGTTGTGAATCCAGAACAGACAGACCGTTGTCAAGGACTTATTGACCGTTGTTAAGGAGGCTCACATCTGCACAAAGAAGTCCGTTCGATGTAACTGTGTACAGTAATAATGAACTGTCATTCCTTCGCGTCGGGATCCTGATCTGCCTGTCGGGTGTTCTTCTACCCATAATGCCTCGCTGCACATTATCCCTTACATGTTATATATTTTTTGTGTGTCTTTCAAGTAATTATTTTAGTGTCTTTGTGTGACCTTTTATGTATTTGTGTAATCGTTGTGTGTCTCTCTGTATAGTTCTTGTGTTTCTCTAATCACTTTTTTTGTATTTGCTTTATTCTGTCTCTGGTTATTTTTTGTCTTTGGTGATTCCGAGTCTCTTTAAGTTGTTTTCGTGTCTCTTTATCGTCATTTTTTATGTAAGAATCTTTTTTTGCTGACCTGCCAACATGGACTTCCTGGAACTCGACACTTTAATTTCAAAAGTTTAGCAGCTGGAAGCCGAAACTGAAATGTTGGCATGAAAAGTGGCAAAAAAGACAAGATGGCTGCCACGAGGAATAAAAGAACCGTTCATTACCGAGCGGGAGAGGGAGAGCAATCTGCTGCTGAATGCTGGGAAACCAAAGACTGTAATTACACTGAGCCATTACTGTGAGTGATGTGTGTGTGTGTGTGTGTGTGTGTGTGTGTGTGTGTGTGTGTGTGTGTGTGTGTGTGTGTGTGTGTGTGTGTGTGTGTGTGTGTGTGTGTGTGCCGATGACATGTGTGCAGATGGGTGATGAAAGTTAGGAAAGTGTGCATTAAGTATTTCGAATAAGTTAAATAAAGGTCTCACGACGGTATCGAGACATTTATTTATCACGATATCGCGATATTCGATATATCGTTACATCCCTAAAACGTAAACATACTCTAGTTAAGTACAAGTACCTCACAAATGTACTTATTACAGTACTTGAGTTAATATAGTAAGTTGTACTTTTCCCCATGAGCATTAGCATCAGCTATGCAATAAAGCATAACAAACTTTAAATGGCTTCCTCCTAATTTAACGAGGCAGATTTGGGGCTCCTTCTTTAAATGCCCTTTCTACCTCAGAAGTGACAAGAGGAGATGGGCCTGTTTCCAAAACCTTCCAATTAGCACCGGTCCAGTATTGAATAAAAAGCCTTAATCCTCCAATGTATAAACCCTCAGGTTCAATTAAGTGTCTCCTGATGACCTTCACTATCTGTAATACCATCAAGCCACCATCAGCTACTGTGAGGCTAATGTGTGGATATGAATATATTTGACCAGAACATATCCTACAGTACGTGGAGGAAGGGAGTGAAGAAGGGGTTGGAACATGTCCAATGCATAGAGGGGGAAAGTAGTGACCAGAGGGAAGATGAATCAGCCCCTAAGGGAACATGGGGAAGACAAAGAAAGAAGAGCCTTATATATAGGATACGAATGTTTACAATATCCGGAGAAACGTTTCCTTCCTCTTGCATTTGCATTCTGACGATGTTTGTTTTCTTTATCGTGGAAGTCACTTGTTGCGTTCTTTCTCTTGCAACGTGTTGCATTGCACTTTTTCACTATTTTAATTGTTGTATTTACTTGCACTATTTTTTCTGTGTATCAGTTGTATTGTGTTGCTCTGTTGGAGGAGCCTGTGACCTCAGATTGTCATCGTCATAACTACACTGTAGCTATGTTCGTATGACCAATAAAAGCCTTGAACCTTGTTCTCCAGAGAAACGTAAGCTTTCTCTTCATAAACTCTCCTCCGAGTTAGATTTGCAGTCTCTACAGAAACACTGGAGAAACGTCTGCGTCCTTCAGAGAAACTTAAGCTTTCTCACGGCCCGTCCACACGGCGGCGTGCGTTGAAGCTTGCCGGTGGGCGTGTCTGAAACTCGACCAACAACCAATCACATGAATCTCCCGCCCCTGACACACAAGCAGCGGTTTGATTGGCTAGAGCTTGTACTGGCATATGATTCGATTGGCTGACGCTTCTGCCGAGGCTTCATAAGTTGAAACTTTTATTTCCAATCTCTTCCGAGTGACTTTGCTCCAGAGAAATGGTTACCCTGCGAAACGTTTGTGTTCTTAGCTGTGCAGCGGCAGCAAACAAAAGCCATGTGCTGAAGGTCCATCCCCAAGATGAAGGTAAAAGGGATTTGAATACTGGACGATTTCCAAATGAGAGCATAGACAATATAGACTAACATGCGTTAACATCTTCCTGACAGTTTGCTCTCCTACCTTCATGACGATGAAGAGCACGAGGGTGACGAAGACGTTGACCTGCGGGTGTTTCCAGGCCGCAGAGTGTCCCGATGTAGTCGAACTCCTCGGCGATGCCCTGCTTCGCCCACGTCCGGTTGTCCAGTAACGTCACCAGAGACTCCTTCTGGGTCAGCTGGACACACACACACACACACATACACACACACACACACACACACACACACACACACCACACACACACACACAGCACACACACACCCACACACACACACACATACCACACACACACACCACACACACACACCACACACACACACACACACAACACACACACACACACACACACACACACACACACACACACACACACACACACACACACACACACACACACACACACACACACACACACACACACACACACACACACACACACACACACACACACTTTAATGTGAGTTTTTTAGCAATAGCACTCAATATTCAGTCTGCAAAAAACTTTAAAAGAATATAATTCGAAGCCATGCATTCGCTTTATTTCACATGTTGATTTACGTCTTTGTGCTATTTTGAATCGCTGTTACTGGAAAATACTATAATAAAACAGACATTCATTTTTGTGCCGCCTTGGTCTCGTCTTCCCTTTAAAAAGCAGTAATGCTCTCTGAGGGTTAAACACATCACATGAAAGCTTCTCATGCCCTTATTAGTTGTATTTACCAATATGAGTTTAAATGTACGTGCAAATACTACATTTTCGTCAAGATGCTCCAGTTTTCCAGCTTGTGGTAAATAAGTGCCAGCTCGTTTTGTACCCCATTTCTTTTATGTTGAAACATGTATTTTCCTTCTGTGAGAAGACTTTGAGATGCGCCTGGATGACGGATGTTTCTGTAATCTGTAAGCACATTAAACCTGCGCATCGGACTGCAGATGTAAATGTGAATATGTCTCCTTCAAATGCAGAGCGTAACGCATGACGGATGATGGTAGATGAAGAGCTGGAAGTGTCCATAAAGACGGAAGATTTAAGATTGCAAAAAGACACATGCATGCATCCTTCACAGTTTAAGAAGCCGGATATCTGGAGACTCTGGTGGGGATAATGTCTCAGAGGAATGATGACTGAGGAGAGAGCCAATCAGACGGGCTGAAGATACAGAAGTTTATAATTTGTGTTCCACAGAGAAGAGGCTTTAAGAGGAGGGGGTCAGTGTGGGCTGAAGACAAGCTGAGTCACCCCTTCATTAGGGACCAGCAGAGTGTGTGTGTGTGTGTGTGTGTGTGTGTGTGAGGATGGACAGAATATTCCCTTTTCAAATTCTGATAATCAGACGGAGGAAGGTGGTCTAATTGGAGGGCATACACACACACACACACACCCACCCACACATATGAGTCACCCCAGGAGCTAAAGGGACATTATGCTGATCCCAGTCTCCTGTGCACACTAATGAAACACACACATACAAAGTTGTGTAGACATGTTTTCATTAGAGGCAAATATGTTTATACAGATCAGTAAAATATTCAGACCTGAGGAGAACTGACGTCATATTCTGTCTCCTTTTTGTGTTTGTTCCCTTGAAAAGGCTTTCAACAAACCCTTTAGAGCAGTAGGACATTAGTCCAGCCTCTCTCCAGTATCACGGCTCAAAGAGTATCCACTACACATTCACCTGTTTTCTGAGTTGCAAGGCTTGTTGTTCATAAAGCGGAAAAACAAGACATTTTAAAAACTTTGTACAGAAATAATGACCCAATTATATTCCAGGTCATCCTTAGACTTCGCTGTGAGTTACTCTGACTCACCGCTCCTGTTACTCATATCTTTTAAACACAAGTCTTTCCCACATGTCCGACACTAATAACACTAATAAACAACGTGACTTATTTACGTTGTTTATTAGTTATGCTATAGTGGTAGTGACATAATAAGATTAACCCAATAACTCTCTTATTTTTAGATGATTCTGAACATCTGGAGTAGGAGACATTGTTTAACTTCTGACACACACATCAGGTCAACAGGCGTTTGCTTTTCCCTTTGTAAATCTGCATTTGGAAATACAACATGTTCAGAGTTGGTGTGCAGAACTTACCTTTCCAGCCATAAACTGTCCAAAACCAGGGGGAAAAGTTAAAGTGGAAACCAGTAAAGTGACCAGCGCGGGGTACAGCAGACGTCTGAGGGGGGGGGGGAGAAAGAGCAGAGACAGTCAGCTAAAAACTGACAGAAAAACGATCCATATTTCATGATTTTCTATGAAAAACCTGCATTTGAAAAGTAGCTTGAGCACACAGACGTTTCTCTTTCTCATGTAGCTGTTACTTTACCCAGAAAGTGGGGATTATTCTTATTAAATAAAGTGGTTAAGAGTGTCTGGATAGCTGGTTGTCCTTTCTGAATAAGTCTCGATATGTGTCGTCGGCCACTTTTGAGAAATAAAGTCAATAGAGGGGTCTGAAAAGTTAACCAATTGTTCCAACTGCTGCTATGTTTTTGGTATTTCTAAGAAAGTAATCCAGTAGTCTTTCTACTCTAAGGTCATAAAGTAAAACAGCTGTCTTTTGCCCCTTTAATTACACTGATTGAGTAAATGTACTTAGTTACTTTCCACAAATCCACTCCACTTACTTCTTCATGAGGAATCTGTTGATGGCCTTCTGTTTCCTGATGAACTGAACAATCAGTCGGTTCAGGTAGACGAACAGCGCTCCACCGAAACCACTGGCAATACTGCAGAGAGAACACACACACACACACACGTTAACACACACACGGCATAAGGAGAAGACATGCAGGGTGATCAAATTGAAAAAGGATGCAATAAAACGAGACAAAGCAACAATGAAAAACATGTTCCTCTCTTAAAACCTCCTCTGAGGGAAGTCCCCGGTGCATTCAGCTGCGATGGAAACAGTGTAGATGTGATGAGTTTCACTACGCTGGAGGCGGGTGTCAGGAAGTGGAATGCAGCTGAATAATATTTACATTAGAAATATACGAGACATGGGAAAGTCTGAATGAAGCGGAGGAAAGAGAGAGTGTGTAGGAGGGTTTGAACAGAGGAGAAAACTGCATTAAAAAAAGTATATTTGTCTTATTTCTAGTCAGAATATGCCTACACTTGATATAAGACATGACAACTTAAGGAGTAACAACGCAGTGAGATATAGGGTCTTGTTTGTACACGATGCATCAGTATCTTGTTAAGTCAAAGACATTTTTTACATGTCACAAGGTTTTTAAGCTACTGTGGTATTTAAGAGTAGATTTAAAAAAACACACTTTTCATCAGAAGACAGAAAAACCTTTGAGCATTTCTGGCTTATCTTAGACGTATTATTTCCTGATCCTGCTCATTACAAGATTTCATTTATCTAAATATCCCATCTTAGTCAATAAATCCTACCAAGCTAATGTTCACGTGTTCTTTTGGCAGATGTGTTGACCTTTTACAAGCGAACACACCTTGTCTTCCAGTTGACAAAGACATCAATTAAACCAGGAACATACTAGAGATGGAACATGAGAGACAGCTGAGAGAGTGGGAGTCAGATGGGATGTGTGGGGGGGGCAAATATATGAGACGTGGGAAAGTCTGAATGAAGCGGAGGAAATAGAGAGTCTCAAAAAACACACGTAGGAGGTTTTGAACAGAAAAAAACACTGCCAAAAATCGAAATCTTGCCAAGCATATTTGTCTTATTTCTAGTCAGAATATGCCTACACTTGATATAATTAATAATAACTTAAGAAGTAACAATTCAGTGAAATATAGGGCAGGGCTGTCCCGAATACCATTTTTCGGGCTCCGGGTATTTGGTAGTAATCAGCAGCGAACCGCTTCAACACGTGTATTTCGGTGTATTCACGGCATTCTTTGTTATTCTACAGTATTGTTGTTTTATAGTTATTTGTTAATGTAACCCAATTTGTGTTCTTTGAAATTGAAAAGGATATCGCATTGTGTTTGTTACTTTCGTGACAGTTGTATATGTCTTAAGTGTAATTTGGCTTGGCTTCCAATTTTGTATGGACATGCTTTTATTTTGAAAGAGAGTTAGCGCTGTTGACAGGAAGTTGTTGTTGCTATGGAAATGACGTGACATAGATTAATGAAGAAAAAAGTAATATTTACATATAAATACGGAGAAAGTAAACGATAACGTTTAAGGTTAAGTGTTAGCACCCACCGAAGAGGCACAAGCTCTTACGTCGATATTGGAGATTTCAATAAATTCAACAAAGAAAAACTAAAAAAAAAAATATCCGGATAACGAAATTGAAACCTGAATAGTACTCCAAAGAACGAATATTCGGGTACAGCCCTAATATATAGTCTTGTTTTTACACAATGCATCAGTATCTTGTTCAGTCAAAGACATGTTTTACAAGGTTTTTAAGATGCTGTGGTTTTAAACCCTAACACAACATCTCCGGATCCTGGTCAAATATAGTTCAAAATAAGATTTCCCAGCTCATTACAAGATCTCCTTTATCTAAATATCCCATCTTAGTCAATACATCTTACCAAGCTAATGTTCATGGCAGATTTTGTAACTTATTAGGAGCGAAAACTCTGTGTTTTCCAGTGAACAAAGACATCAATTAAAACAGGAACATACTAGAGATGGAGAATGAACAGAGAGGAACAGCTGAGAGAGTGGGAGTCAGGGACGTGTGTGTGTGTGTGTGTGTGTGTGTGTGTGTGTGTGTGTGTGTGTGTGTGTGTGTGTGTGTGTGTGTGTGTGTGTGTGTGTGTGTGTGTGTGTGTGTGTGGGGGGTGAAAACAGAACAAGAAGTTTTACATAAGCTTTCGTTTAGGAGCTCGGTGGGATTCCTCTTTGTGACGCTGAGAGGAAAATGGACTCCATGCAGACAACCTGATGCGTATAAATTCATCTTACTGAATTATTAATTCCATCAAATTCCTCTGAATAAATAATGAGCAGGAGGATGATGTCTTTGCCTCGGGATGAAGCCGATTCACTGCATGCTGTCTTTTTGTTTTAGTAGATCTAGCTGTTAAAGGGGTCTTATTATGGATTCTGGGGTTTTCCCTCTCCTGTAATAATAATAATAATAGATTTATTTTGTTAGCGCTTTTACAGGTGCTCAAAGACGCTTTACAGATATAGTGAAAAGAAAAGAAAAGGAACAACAAATACATATATAGTTAAAGTTAAAGTCAAAAGTCTGTAGTTTGTTATATAGATTTTTAGTGCATGTTAACGGTCTGCAGAGGCTAAAATCCCTGCTTGAAACACCACCATTGGACTCCTTTGTTTACTTCCAGAACATATTGACAACATTAAAGTAACACTTGCTTTTCTATTGGCTAGCGCTCCAACACATTGTACGTGATAGGCTAAGGGGCGGGACATCTCTAAGCGGTTGACCAATCACAACGGAGCCGGCCAGCTAACCAATCAGAGCAATGGAATGATACTCACAACTTATTTCCTTAACATTTAAACTTCTCTGCAGCGCCACAATACTTAATACACATATTTTGTACCTGCTTTAATTTGACCAAATATCAATGTATTGCGATTTGGATATGGCACTTGTTGAATTTAATAAAGTGTCTATCAATTGTGCAGCTTTCCTTTTATGTTTATGTTGTATTTCTTCCCTTTCTGTAAGTAATACTCATGTTTGGTTTAAATATGTTTTGTAAATATTTTTGTATCCACTATGTTGAATACAAAAAAAAGAAAGTTGATATAATATTTTCAAATGATAACTAAGAAAATCCCATTTCCTCGTCGATATGTGTCGTTGTTTGCTTATTCAACAGCAACATTTTTAATTAAATGTATTTCCATCTCGGTTCTTTTGAATCTGAGCACAAAGAGGCTCTTAAATGCCAGCATCAGCGGGGGTGTGAAGGCTGTCATTTAGAGCTCTTCACAAAGTTAGCAAAATGTCGTATCCACACACACACACACACACACACACACACACACACACACACAGAGAGAGACAGAGAGACGGAGAGAGAGAGACAGACAGAGAGAGAGAGAGAGACAGAGAGAGAGAGAGAGACAGACACAGACAGACAGACAGACAGACAGACAGACAGACAGACAGACAGACAGACAGACAGACAGAGAGAGAGAGAGAGAGAGACAGACAGACAGACAGACAGACAGACAGACAGACAGAGAGAGAGAGAGAGAGACAGACAGACAGACAGACAGAGAGAGAGAGAGAGAGACAGAGAGAGAGACAGACAGACAGACAGACAGAGAGAGAGACAGACAGACAGACAGACAGACAGACAGACAGACAGACAGACAGACAGACAGACAGACAGACAGACAGACAGACAGACAGACAGACAGACAGACAGACAGACAGACAGACAGACAGACAGAGAGAGAGAGAGAGAGAGAGAGAGAGAGAGAGAGAGAGAGAGAGAGAGAGAGAGAGAGAGAGAGAGAGAGAGAGAGAGAGAGAGAGAGAGAGAGAGAGAGAGAGAGAAAGAGGGAGGCAGAGTTCCCCCCCGGCTCAGGATGAAATGAGACCCCCTCAGTGGTGAATTATCCATGTCAGGTGACTCGCTCGGAGGAAACAGCTTCACAGCTTCCTGGATAATATCTCATATCTAATAAATAAGAAAACCTGACAAAACAACCAGATGGCAAAAAAACAAAAACCTGAATAAGTGAATTCATTCAAAGTTTCTTGGACTTTTCGTTGGCAAACTAAACCTGATTTGTTGATCGTAGAGTTGTGTGTTGTATATTTTGTATGAATTTTAACCTGGACATGAGAAGTGTATTTGAGCCCCTTGAAAAGTGCTCTTTAAATACACATTATTTCATAATCGTATAAATAATATGATCATTTTTCATAATAATAATCATTTAATTTTGATTATAATTATTTTGTTTAATCATTATTATTTATTTATTTCCCTAATACTTTACAAATTAGATTGTGTTTTAAATAGTTTTAAACACAATCTATGAAACCTTTATATTACCAACCCATGCTCTAATGTAAATGAAATCAGAAATGGACCAATCAGCAGAGAGGACTCACCCAATGACGGCGAAGGCAGGAAGCTCCTGGAGGTCGAAGGGGAAGTCGAGGCGGAAACGCGTTTTAAAAAGAGCCGTGATGGTCTCTGGAGAAGAAGGAGAACAGAAAGAGATCAGGAACCTGTCAGAGTGTCATCCAAACTAACAGACGACTTTAAAGCAGGGCAACGGAAATATACTTATGTTGAGTATAATGTCGCCGTAACTGTCCTCAAATACAGCTGCATAACATTGTAAAAAGGTAAATATCGCTTTGCACCACTGGAAACATGTCAATAAGTCAGCTGTCAAACATATATAATTACCATGTGAGCTTGATAAGATTACTGAGGGCTTCCGTCAAGATAATGAAACATTTATCAGCTTTATTTACTTTATTAAGATGTGAGAGTTTCACTTCTGTTCGGTACCAACGTCTCGGTAGTTTGATCATTTTCAGAATTTATTTATATTGAAAAGTATTTTTTTTCAAGGTTTATTTAGTTTTCCCCCCGATTTTTTTCATTTAATATCCTATGTTGTTTATAGAGATAGACCAAGTTAATCTGTCGGCAAAAAATATACATTACACTTTAGTTATTAAGACACTTTTGATGCTAGTAACCACATTCCTGGTAGTTTGACAGACTGAAAGGTGTTTTGAATCATTTCCCTGACCTTCGTCTCGGTTCCACACGGCCAGAACTCTGAAGATGAAGGCACTGAAGGTCGCTGCGAAGAAACCTCTCCAGTAGTTCCTCACCGCGAAGAACGTGGACGTTACTTCAATACTGAACAACACACCTGCAACACACACACACACCCACTTACTGTACTTTTCCTCCACTCCATGTATTTAATACCTTTAGTTACTTCACAGATCTGGATGAATGATGTGAAATCTAATCAAGTGTTAAATCACACTTTAGTTCCACCTGGAGTAAATCCACCAGCTACCCTGCAGTATACAAAGTCATTCAAACTAGCTGCACCTTCACCAGCTTTGAGAACACTTTAATGATCAATCATTATAAAACATATCATATATATTATTCTGAAATGGACCAATCTGCACAACGACTACTTTTACTGTCGCTACTTTCACTGTATTTTGATGAGAATACTTTTCTACTTTTACTTGAGGAACATTTTGAATGCAGGACTTTTACTGTAACAGAGTATTCCTACACTCTGGTACTTCTACTTTTACTCAAGTACAAGATCTGAGTACTTCTACTTTTACTACAAGATCTGAGTACTTCTACTTTTACTCAAGTACAAGATCTAAGTACTTCTACTTTTACTAAGTACAATATCTGAGTACTTCTACTTTTACTGAAGCACAAGATCTGAGTACTTCTACTTTTACTCAAGTACAATACCTGAGTACTTCTACTTTTACTCAAGTACAATACCTGAGTACTTCTACTTTTACTCAAGTACAATACCTGAGTACTTCTACTTTTACTCAAGTACAAGACCTGAGTACTTCTACTTTTACTCAAGTACAAGACCTGAGTACTTCTACTTTTACTCAAGTACAAGACCTGAGTACTTCTACTTTTACTCAAGTACAAGATCTGAGTACTTCTACTTTTACTAAGTACAAGATCTGAGTACTTCTACTTTTACTCAAGTACAATATCTGAGTACTTCTACTTTTACTAAGTACAAGATCTGAGTACTTCTACTTTTACTAAGTACAGGATCTGAGTACTTCTCCTTTTACTAAGTACAAGATCTGAGTACTTCTCCTTTTACTCAAGTACAAGATCTGAGTACTTCTACTTTTACTAAGTACAAGACCTGAGTACTTCTACTTTTACTCAAGTACAAGACCTGAGTACTTCTACTTTTACTCAAGTACAAGACCTGAGTACTTCTCCTTTTACTCAAGTACAAGATCTGAGTACTTCTACTTTTACTAAGTACAAGATCTGAGTACTTCTCCTTTTACTAAGTACAGGATCTGAGTACTTCTACTTTTACTCAAGTACAAGATCTGAGTACTTCTACTTTTACTCAAGTACAAGACCTGAGTACTTCTACTTTTACTCAAGTACAAGACCTGAGTACTTCTACTTTTACTAAGTACAAGACCTGAGTACTTCTCCTTTTACTAAGTACAGGATCTGAGTACTTCTCTCTTCTCTGACAGGTACACATCTGGCTTCATTTGTTGGGTTTCTTTTTTACTCTTCTTCTTTTTTCCTACAGCTTAGTTTTGACATGTTGTTTGCTTTCTGTATCGGGGTCACATGACAGCACGAGGCATTCCATTACTTATTTGAAATTATGAATTTTTAACCAATTATCATTTTGAGATTTAAAATTGCAACGTGAGAAAAAAGCATTTGGAACATTTTTGAAACGTGATCTAAGACTTTTCAAAGAAACAAATCTCAATCTGCTTTAATATAATGTATAATATAATTAACTTATGTTACTTCCTTTAGTTGAGCTCACCTCCAATAGGGGCAGCGAAGCAGCATCCCACCCCCACAGCACAGGCTGCTGCCAGCATCTCGATGTTCCTCGACTCGTTCTGAAACACACACACACACACACACACACACACCAGGAAGTCAGACATGTTGGTACCGTAACTGGCTCGGAGAACATTCAGAAGAGCCCCCCATCCTACCAACGTATTTTACATCAAGGCACCACGGGAATATACAGATTGTAGCAGATTGTCTAATTATTATGTAATTAATGTGATCTGAAGAGAAACACAGATTCTTATTATTTAAAGAAAGTAATGGTAAGCAACTGTCCGATTATTGAAAGACACCTGTGTGTGTCTCTTTCAAAATGACTGTGCTTGATCATTTCAGTTATGACCATATTTTGGTTTATTTAAAAAAACAACAGAGGCTTCAATTTGGTAGTTTTGACTGGGGTCCAACCAAAATACATTTCCATCTTTAAAGCATTCATCAAAACAGAGAACATGAAGTTATTAGGAACACATTCATCTACAATGAAATGACAAATCATTCTTTAAAACCACTAGAACGTGCACAGTCCATAGCAATCCTTCATTCTGCATTTAGGAGAATAATAATGATTTTTTTTTATCAGGATGCAAAAATGGTGCATCATGGGAAATGGAGGTTTTTTTGGACATGCTTACCCCCTAATCCCACCAGGAGCGTCTGCGCTGCGTTGCGCTGCGTTTCGCTGCGTTGCGCTGCGGCTGCGGTGTTTTTAGCGATCGCGGCCACTCTAGTCAATGGGTGCTATTCCACCAGACCCACTGCGCCGCGCTGCACCGCGCTGCACCGCGCTGCACCGCGCTGCACCGCGGCTCGAAGCGTCCCAGAAGCTCCTCGCCGCAAGGAATTTCTAAAATATAGGATGAATCCTATTTTTGACGCGGTGCAGCGCGGTGCAGGGCGGCGCAGGCAGGAAGTGGAATGTTCATCCAACAACTGCGAGGCTGCACACACGACGCTCCGCTTCCGCAACGTTTTGAAACACGCCTGGTGGGTTATGACGCAGGAGGAGGTCGCAGCGCGGCGCGGCCGCAGCGCAGGCGCTTCCGGTGGGATCAGGGGGTTACTCTTACTCACCTTTAATATCATGAGACTGGGTTCCTTGCGCAGCATGACAGTAATACAGACAGGTAAGAGTTAGTGTGTGTGTGTGTGTGTGTGCATATTTCTCCTGCTCTACCTACCTTACAGTGTAGGGCTCTTGATAAGCCCACTAGTCTGCAGCTCACTCATATATAACACACACACGCATGCACACACACACCCACACCCACACACACACACACACACACACACACACACACACACACACACACACACACACACACACACACACACACACACACACACACACACACACACACACACACACACACACACACACACACACACACACACACCACACACACACACACACACACACACACACACACACACACACACACACACACACACACACACACTGCGCAATATGTTAATCAGGAGAGAATATTTCAAAGACTGCCTATAGGCTGGAATATTTCCACTTATTTAATTCCAAATCCCTTTGATAGAAGTAGCAACAGACATTCATTTGTATATAACTCATCATTATACCGTAGCAGTTGATCGCACAACGTGATGAATAATGACACATAGTGGACAAACCCTGCAATGCTTTTGATATTTGATGATTGGTCTATTCGAAAGTCACATTAGCAGAAGCTTTATGAAGCTTACTGCTTATTTGTGGGAACGTTTTATTTATTATAATATCACCTTAGGGTATATGCAGGAACCCTCAAGTCAAATGTAAGACCTTTTAAGACCCTTTCCATACATTTTAAGACCTCATCTCCACTTGGAGTTCTAACCGGTTACCTTGGCGACACACTTTACCTCACATTGACTATATACAGTATTGATTGTCCTTCCTCCTTATCTTCCAACCATTTGGACGCAGACTTGCATTTCCCCATAACGATGTTGCTTAGCAACCGGCGTAAACGGACCTTCGCGCTATCAAGCAGTGAGCGTGCGATGTCCTGTTCAGATGACGTCAAACCCAACGGGATGCCATCAATAAACTACACAGAATCACACTACACACCTACGCAATGATTACATTCAGGCAGACTGTAGAATACAACCTCTTTGGACCATTTATATACTTATTGAAAACAAGATAAAATGCCGTTTAATACTTTTTAATAGCCGTAATTTTCGCTAAATTGATTTATCAACTTTGAATACTCTTTAGGACCCCGCGGGCACCCCGCGGACACCCTGCACCTACAACTAGGCATAGGATATATATTTACTATATCAGTATTGGGATATGAGAAATCATCTTAGAGGTTGGGTGAAAATATATAATATCTTTATCCTGGTTTAAAGGTTGTATCTTTCTGATTTGTTTGATTATTCATTTAAAATCTCATCGTTTAAATATGTTTGTAAAAGTGCTAATGGTCATCTCGGTTTGTTTTTGTCTACTCTTTATTTCCAAGTGATGTGAAATGCCTTTGTTTCAACATGCAAGTTTGAGATCAACTAGTATATCTTATAAAACTCAATATATATCTGTTCTGGTGTGTGCTTTTTTTCCAAAAGCTGCATTTTCTACATTACTCATCCCTTCAAGTTATTTGATATAACATCTATCTAAAAGCACGCTGGAGCAAAGCGCTGGTTTCACAGCCTGCAGGCTCCGTGTTTCAAAGTGAGGAGATCCTGCTGCAGAGGGACCTTCACACCTCGCCATTAATATGCATTAAAGTGCAGCACAACCCTAAGGAGAGGAGGGGGAGGTGGGTGAGGATGATGAGGGCGATAAAGAAGATTAAAAGGTAGGAAGGCTGATAGAGAAACGACAAAGTAAACAGGGGGAAGACGGAGGAGATGCTTGTGTTCAAACTGAAGCCTCTTGTGACATTTAGAGCCGTTATCATGAGGTAAGATACGATGATAACATTCATTACTCCCCGTAGGAAAACATTACGGTGTTGAATTGATGATTTTAAGAATATATAACGGGAAAGAAAAACCTATAGCTTTATCTGTATGTGCTTGGTGTCAGATGGACGTCAATGGGTTTGTATTCATGTGCTTTTAATTGATTAAATATGTGCAATATTAGTTTGCTGTAATTGTGCTCATGTGATTTGTCCGTGTTGATGTTCTCTGAAATAAAGCAATCAAGATGGAAATTAGCTCTTGTGGCGAAAAGATGGGCTCAAGTGCTCGTGTTAATTAATGTGCATTGTTCCTTCTTTAATCAATACATACAAAAGTAAATACTGAAGCTGCTAAACGCAAAAGAATCCTAGAAAACAGCAAATTAAAATCTAAATGTCTGACTTCCTGACTGTCCATCCACTATAATTAAAAGACCATTGTATATTTCTTAAGCCTCTTACACACCAAACACCGTCGCCTCACGTCTCTGCGTCTTGGCCATGTGTCACACTGGAACACACCGCAAAGACTTCAGCCGACGGCCAAGAAGCACGCATGAACTGCGCCTGCGTGAATGGCAATAACTCTCCTCACCAGCAGGCGGCGGTAGTGTGTATTCGTCATTCAAAAGAGGCAACAACCAGAAGACAGACTGCGTGATAACCGAGAGAAGAAGAACAGACTGCGTGATATAAACAAACAACAAATAGCGTTCCATTTTCACTCTACAGCGAGAAGCTCACGGGGCTTTCCCGAACCTGTGTCGAGAGCTGGAGTTCAATGAAAGCTCAGATTTGCCTTCTTAATAATTTGTTTGGGTCCCTCACTTCCGTTTCGCTTCTCATGCAATGATTCGCTAGCTGAACAGCCAATCAGAGTGATTTATTTGGCCGACGGCCTCCCGATTCAACATGTCGAATCGGGACGGCCGAAAAGACACGACGGTGCAGCACATACCAATCTGAGTAGGGCGACACGACGCTCATCGATGTCCCGACATCTATCGCCCCCGACTTTATTTATTTTTCTCTCTATGAACCCTCCACGGCTCCGTAGAGATTAAAGTCAGAATTATGACTTTTTTTCTCAGAACTCTTTTTTTTTCATGCTGATCCTCTTCGGTACAATACTTTAATACTTTTACTCAAGTAAGATTTGAAATGCATTTTATACAAATGAGTTTTGATACTTTAACTTAAGAAGAGAGTCTGAGTATTTCTTCCACCACTGAAGAAAGTAAGTGCACATGAGTCTAAAGTAAAGTAAAGATACTTTGGAAGATTACAGTAGACTCTGGCTCCTAAAAAGCACATCTCACTTCCTGCCATTTACCTGCAGCCAAAGCTAAACTTAAATGTATATCAGAATGCTGCACGTTTCTCCATATCCTCACCAATAACTTCACATTATCTCTAAGACGGCACTTTTTCAAAGGCTCAAATCACTATAAAGTGTTTCCCTTATCGTCTAACATCATGGATGGCCAATCACGTTTGCATCGAGTTTGTACTGTACTCCCTTTCATCGAAGGACTCTCTGTCTCTCGGCCCTCCCTCTAAGCCTCCCATCTCCCCGACATTTCATCCCTCACATCTTCAGAAAACATGGAGATGAGAGTGAAGATTTCCCAGCCGGCCTGCAGCTCTAATCCCAGCAGACGGAGAGGAAGAAGTAAACGATGCTTCTCTTTCCATCTCTATCTGGCTGCTCTCTACTTTTGAAGATGAAAATATCTCATTAGCTGACAAATAGTGTATTGATTAAACATTTATAAGATACTCCTGGTAGTTGACTTTACGTGGGATGGAAGGAATTGATGCCGAGGGAAAAAGGGGAAAAGTTGCATTTATTTCCAACTCATTTCTGACTTTTGAGCTTGAGGAAAACTTAAAAACAAAAGCCTCTTATCTGGTGTTGAAGCTCAAGAGTTCAGAGCAGAAAATAATAAAGCAGAACCGGGCTGCGTCTCTGAGGCTGGAGCGACACGAGGACGATAACGCAAACGGACCGAAATCGATATCAAAAAAGTCTTCCGTCCACACGCAACAGGCCCCAGAAACGTGTCCGTTCACACGAGACCGCTCGAAAGCGCTGGAGACGCTGTAGTACATATGCCGGGCCTGTAAGTGGCGCTGTACTCCTGCCACAAAAGCAGCGAAGAAGACTTCCCGCGCATGGTTGCCATGGTTGCCCTTCTGTTTATTCTCCGCGGTGGACGGCGTTTGCTCCTGCTGTAATTTTCTCCGGTAGTCCACCAGCAGATGAGAAACACCCACCTCTCCGCCTCTTCCAAGGGACGAGGGAACCGTGCGGCAGAGTTTCCGTTAGATTTTTTTCCGCCGGTCAACATGTCCGTTAGGGTTTAAATATTCCGGACAAAATTAGAAAAGTGCCGGTCAAAGGTCTTCTTTGTTATTTATTGAGCTTTAAAATAAATTGATAACGACTCTATATCATAATATAAGAATAAAAAACGGACTCCCTCTTTTCCTCCCCCTCTCCTGAGAGCCCAGCAGCTGATCTCTGAGCAGGAGAGGTGGGAGAGGCGGGGCTATTGTGTCATCGTTATCAGGAGATTATCGTATAGGCGTAAACACAGAGCCGTTTGCCCCCCCAGAGCGTTTCGTCCCCAGATCTACCCACCTTGGGACCCGTTATCGTTATCTGCGTTTCCATGTCGGCCTCGTGTGGCCGATCCGTCTATCTGATAGAGAACTGTAGCAGATATGACCGTTATCGTCCTCGTGTGGCTGGGGCCTACAACTGTCCAAAAAAACATCTTTAGTCTAATGCATTCCCTCTGTTCTCCTTCTGCTTCTCTGGCGAATCACCTGCTGTCAACATCCTCAGTTATTCTGTGAGCACCGCCTGAAGATATCGCCAGCTGCTTTTTTTTCCATGCATTTTTCATGATCAGGGGATTGATGCAAAATCACTCGAGCTGAATTAAAGTGTCGTCTTCCGTCTGGTTTCGGTTCGACCCTCAAATCATGTTTTTTCTGGCTGCTGTTACCGGGCAGATTAGTGGAGCGTTTAGCGGCTCAAGAGACAGATATTTCACTCTGTCGGGAATCTGACAATAAAAATGATAATGTTGCTGCGGAGAGGATGATTGGCTGCAATCTGCCGGCCCTGCAGGACTCTCGGGGGGGGGGGGGGGGGGGGGGGGGGAGATTGTGCCGGACCCATGTGATCCTGGACACAAAATGTTTCAATCCCCCTCGGGCAGCATAAGGAGCCCTAAAAAGGTGCGCCATGAAAACAGTTTTCCGACTGAAATTGGCCTCATCAGGGACGTCCGGGACTCTAACCCCCCTAAAGACATGTGTGTGTGTGTGTGTGTGGTACATTAAAACATATATTGGACCATTATCCCTGTCCATTGCACACAGTCTTTTTAATTTGCACATCCCACTATCAATATTTGTTTGCATATTATTTTATTGTATATTATTTTTGTTACATTTTTGGTTATTACTATTTATGTTTTTCCTCTTAATATTTATATGAACTAATGCATTTTTTGTTAAAATGTTGTTTTGTTTTTTTTGCATTTCTTTTTTATATAATTCAATATCTGCGCTGTATTTTTTCCCTCTAAATATGTTTAAAGTATGCTCTAACCACACAATAAAGTATGTTAGTGAAACCCAGCTTGTTAATTCTCTGATACTTGCACACACTTCCTTTCAAATGGACTTTTGCACACCCCACTATCAGTATCTTTGCATTTCCTGCCCAAATTGAACCTATATTTTGTAGAATCTTTATGGTTTATTCTCATATTTGTTATGGATTTTGTTCTTTTCTAATTGTATTCTGTCTGTATTTTTATTTCCCCTTAGTATTTGTATAACATGCACTAAACACCAAACACATTGCCTGTCAAAGTGGAAACCTGCGTAGTAACTGGCCTTATTCTTCTGGATGTGTAAATAAAAAGGATTTTTCAATATATAATAATAATAATAATAATGTAATTGCATGGATGAATGCACTTTGGATAAAGGCGTTAGCTAAATGAAATGAATAAGAAACTATTTTTGTTCTCCATCTTAACTTGAAAAGTGATATGTCAATTCTGTGGTCACATATTGTTTGTGCTGCCCCCATGTGGCCAGAAAGTGAATTACTGCTGCCCATCAAGCTTATTAATAAAAGTGAATAATAAAAACAGATGTAATCATTTCACACACTCACATAACTCACTCATATCACTGTTTGGCTGTGTAGACGATGAAACAGAAATATGGTGATGGAAAGTAGAGAAAGAGGTGGAAATTGTTTCTTACGGCCCGTCCACACTACAGCTTCGACAGCTTCAAAAACGTTTTCCAACGCTTCTGCCCATTCACTTTGAATGGGGTGACGTCACTTTTCGCCGAACTGCATTGTGGGAAGCAGAGCGGAGCTTTCCTGGCGTTTCAGGCTGCAAAAGTTGAGCAATGTTCAACTTTTGAAGCTTCTGAAGCTTTCGGTGGAAGAGTCAGCCAATCAAATCATATGCCAGTACAAGCTCTAGCCAATCAAACCGCTGCTTGTGTGTCAGGGGCGGGAGATTCATGTGATTGGTTGTTGGTCGAGCTTCAGACACGCCGAGCTCCAAGCTTTTTTTGAAGCTGTAGTGTGGACGGGCCGTTAAAATGGTGTATGGAGTGCACAGTGTATTTGGAACAAGATGTGAAATAATAATGAATAATAGATGTTTCAATTTAAAGTTTTGGCAGTGGGAGAAATGGAGAAAAAGTTAGAAGAGTGTTATTGACTTTTTACAAAACTAACCTCATAGATTCCTCCAAACAGAGACATGAACTTGCTGAGGAGAGCGGCACACAAACTGGCGATGTGTACGAACGGACCCTGAAAAAAAACAACATAGAAAACAAGTTATTTTTATGTCATGAAGAATCAACACACTGTCAACAACAAAGTCTGCAGTGGATATTACAATTCTGGGGATGAAGTTCAAAGTGGAACTAACAGGATTTAAAAGAGAGAGCGTCACATCGTGCTCGAGTTAAAGGAAGTGAGAGGGCTGCAGGAGGACGTGTGTGTGTGTGTGTGTGTGTGTGTGTGTGTGTGTGTGTGTCTGTGTGTGTGTGTGTGTGTGTGTGTGTGAGAGAGTAGAGAAAATATATCTTCCTCCGAGCATGTCTTCAGGCAAGTCCTTTGGGGGTTGCAAATGCAATACTTACCTGGAAATGTGCTTGCTAAAAAAACTCAGAGACAGGGATCTACACTACATTTAACACACGCAAAACATAAACAACATCTGCATATCGTGTTGGGAACCCCCTCCTCGTTGTCTTTCCCTCTCCACATTTCACACTGTGTACCTGAACATATCGTGAGCAGTTCATGGTTCATTTGTAATTCATGCTGCAGGGATGTAGAGGAATGAGAATGAGCCACGGAGATGTATGTGCTCCATGTGCAGTAGCATGTTATCTCTGTGTGTGTGTGTGTGTGTGTGTGTGTGTGTGTGTGTGTGTGTGTGTGTGTGTGTGTGTGTGTGTGTTACAACCTGCTCTACAGGGTCTCTGCACTTCACTTTGACCTACATGGGTTTTTTATGCAAATATGTGCATGTCATACCATCTTTCCGTTCTAATGTATAGCAGATAGATGTTCTGTAAACATCACTGTGATGCGAGTCAGGACTTTCTGTGTGTGTGTGTGTGTGTGTGTGTGTGTGTGTGTGTGTGTGTGTGTGTGTGTGTGTGTGTGTGTGTGTGTGTGTGTGTGTGTGTGTGTGTGTGATATAATGTTTGTAATATTGTGAATCACTAGAAACTGTTGAATGTGGCTCAGCATTTGAGTTTCACCAACATAAAGAGGCACCTGAAATGCAACGCGTTTCTAATGGAAAGGTTAAAGTGTGTATACACACACACACACACACACACACACACACACACAGACAGTCGCATTTCGTCTCCGTCTCATGAGTCACATATTGATAAATGTGATGGACATAGTTGGTAGCTTGTGCTGTGTGTGTGTGTGAGCGTGTGTGTGTGTGTGTGTGTGTGTGTGTGTGTGTGTGTGAGCGTGTGTGTGTGTGTGTGTGTGTGTGTGTGTGTGTGTGTGTGTGCCTTTTCTCTTTCTCTAGGGGAGCTTCAACAAGGCTAAATGCACTAACAAGAATGCATACAGTCCAAAAAGGCATTCAAGGATCTATGGGGTGAGTGATTGAATATACATGTCATTTGGAATACAAGTGAGCGTGTGTGTGTGTGTGTTACCTCCTTGCCCAGGGGCATGCCGCTGCCCAGAGCGCAGGTGAGGCCGATGACTTTGGCCACGAAGGTTTTGAAGGTGAGGTACTCCTTCAGCACGACGCCCCTCAGGATGGTCTTCATCTCAGGGATACCTGAACCTGCAGCAGCAAAACCGACACGGAGAAGTTACATCACAGACTCAGAGCGTACTCAAGCTCCCTGACCTCTGACCTCTGGCTTCCTCTCAGTCTTTGTGTGACCTATTATCTATTCCATTTTAAAAAGCCATGTGTAGAAGAAACATGCACATAGAGGTACACACATCTAACTACTCCTTCTCCAAAAGGTATGGACCATTACAGAGAGGAAAGCAACTAAAGAACACAACAAGACAGACATAGTGGAGTGTGTGTGTGTCCTTTATCTACAGTGTGTGCTGTTGGGTGTGTGTGTGTGTGTGTGTGTGTGTTGTGCAGTGTGTGTGTGTGTTGTACGGTGTGTGTGTTGCTGGGTGTGTGTTGTGTTGGGTGTGTGTTGTGCAGTGTGTGCGTTGTTCGTACCGACAGCCTGGGGGGCGAGGATCTGTGTGAAGCCGGCAGAGAAGGTGATGAGGACGACGGGGTAGGTGACCCAGGCCAAATACTGCAGGAACACGTTACTGTCCAGACCCCCGTACATCCACTTCTGCGCTGTGGACACACACACACACACACACACACACACACACACACACACACACACACACACACACACAGAGGGGCAAACATGTAAACCACAATCTAATGCATCCAACAGCACAGAATATAATACACACACAGTAATGCACCCATGAATATACCGTGCACTTAAGAAACAACCACTTTTTCTTGCGAGATACATTTTTATTTAATGTAAAAATGTCACGAGGACATACTATAATACACACACACACACACACACACAAAAGTACATGTACTGTATGTATGACGTGTCTCCTGTATTTACACACACAGGGCTAAGTGTACATACAGGAGAACTGTCATACATACAGGTACCTGTGTGTGTGTGTGTGTGTGTGTGTGTGTGTGTGTGTGTGTGTGTGTTTCCTCAGGACAGGTGGTTAGTCATGGTGGCTGTATCCAATTAAAAGAACTGTACACCGTAACTGGAACTGACAAGACTAGGTTGGCTTCTCCTTGAGATTAAACACACACCCCCCCCCCCCCCCCCCCACATACACACACTGGCAAATCCATTTGAATTAGAGCAAGTCCCGTAAGATCGGCTCTTACAACTCCCTGTAAGAGGTCCACCTTCCTCTGATGTGAAGTCGACTGACTCTGACTAATCCCTCGTTTACATCTCCTCCTCAGTCTGAAGCCATAAGAGGCCTCACATCCATCCCTTCCTCCACCTTCTGCCTCTAATCCCCTGGCTTCAGGCTTCCAGCAGAGAGTGGTGCAGGAACGATGCCTAAACCTGGAGATTAGCTAGCACTTCTGTTGACTTCCTGCATCTGGAAGTCAATGGTCTGTTGAATGTGTTTTTGGTTAGAAGACTCAAATGTGGTCTCTCTCTCTCTCTCTCTCACCTTGTAAACAGATGGCGATGCAGAAGTCCACAGCCCAGCTGACCATTGCCATGAGGAGTCCCAGCAGGATGAGGAAGATCCAGTCCTCCCCGACCCGTGAGATCAGGAACTTCTGACAGCGCAACGTGCAGACTGCGGGAAAACGGAGAGTAACAGGTTAGGGACTACAAATCCACTCCTTAAAACTACATTTCCCAGGAACTGAGGTTTGGAATATATCGAATCTATTCACCAGTCTTGCTGTGTTTCCATCCAACAGCTTTAACATATCGTTGCCCGATTTTTAGATTGCATTTTCAAAGAGTTCAACAGGTTAGGGACTACAAATCCACTCGTTAAAACTACATTTCCCAGGCACTGGCACTGAGGTTTTTGACGGTATTGAATCCATTTTGAAATGCTGAGCACCAGTGAACAATACACTCATTCCAAAATGCTGTTTACTTTGTTTGATGAGAAGTAACAGCAACAATCAACCCCCCCCCCCCCCCCCCATCATAGGTGAGTTAACACCATTTTTTTAAATGATGAAATCTGTAATTTCCTCTCAAATTTCCACATAAAATTTATTTTTTGTTTTACTTGAGTTTCTTCTTTTCCACATTTTTGTATTGTTTTGCTCTTTTGAAAGGCTTTGGTTTTAGAACTTTACTTAAAAAAGGTTCAATTAACTTTATTTGAACACTGTTAGTAAATACAGACGTTGTAAATTGATTTTTTTAGATGACTGTGACGGAGCGGGTCACAGAGTGACTGACTCCGTCACTGACAGCCGACACACACACACACACCAAACATTTCCTGCTCTCTTCCGTCAAATGAACCATGCAATTTCTTATTTATTTTACTTTTGTTTAATTATGGGGAATGATTATGTTAAGAGGTGGTTAACCTGTTTATATTTGGGTCGGATTATTTTGTTGAAATGTGGTTTTGAGTTGATTGTGTCAACTGTTGACGGTGAGCCTGTGGGAGGGGCTATGGGGTCAAAAGGGACGGTGTTGGTTCCTTGGATTTTTTCGGACTGTGTCACTCGGAAGAATGTTGCAATGAAGGCAACAGTTGGGACATGTTTGGGAGTTGGTTGCAGAGAAGGCAACCCAGAGCATGTTTACTCTAATGAGTGATGGACGGCCTGTTTGTGGATTTTATTTTGTTGTCTAACTTGTGCTGGTTCGTTATTTTTTGTTTTGTTGCTGTTATTAAAGTTTTGGAGCTTAACCCAACCGACTAGGCCAGTGTTGTGAACGGACAAATAGAGCCCCGTCACAATGACATTTTCAACAACAAAAAATCTCATTCACTACAGTATGTATGAAAAAACTAAAAAGATGCCCCCGAGGAAAATGCATTTTTTGTTTATTATTTAGGTGACATGGAGCTTTACATATCCTAATTTACTCCGTAAGGAAATGCAGTTCATCCACATATTTCTTTGCATTCTTTAAAGTTCCAGGATGGAAAAAAACAGCTAGCTTTAATAAATACCACATTTAAAAAAAACAAAAAAAAAACACCTTGTGTTAAGAATATGTTACCCACAATGCAATGGGCTGAAGACAAAACAGACCACACTGATATACTACACTTAATATACGCTATATAAATAACATGTATTATTATTTTTAATGTAGATTAAACACACAGCACTGAAGTCACAGCAATTGGAGACACTGCAACACACACACACATAACATGTATACATCACTTCAGGGGACATTACATTGACTTACATACATTACACACACACACACACACACACACACACACACACACACACACACACACACACACAACACACACACACACACACACACACACACACACACACACACACACACACACACACAACACACACACACACACACACCACAACACACACACACACACACACACACACACACACACACACACACACACACACACAACACACACACACACACACACACACACACACACACACACACACACACACACACACACACACACACACACACACACACACACACACACACACACACACACACACACACACACACACACACACACACACACACACACACACACACACACACACACACACACACACACACACACACACACACACCCTCTCCCCTTCCTTCCTCTCTGATCCAATCATTCCCCTTCCTTCTTCTGCTGCTGCTGCTTTCTGCTAATCACATCCAGCCCTGACTTCCTCTCTCGGGTATTATCTGCTGCCCTCCACTCCTCACCTCTCTCTCTGCAGGAGTCATAAAGCCCACATACCTGCTGAGACTAATTTAGGTTGCCTTGGATACTGTAGAGTTATATTTGTATTTATTCATGTTAGCAAACTATGGATAAGCTTAAAATGGGAATAATTTGGGTAAAACTGTGAGCTGCATTTGGGGCCTGTTGACATGTGTTTTTGAGGACAAAGGAAGATGGGGGAAGGTGAAAGCATGTCCTGATTTGCATTCAACTTAGAACGAGCTACAGTGGTTGTGATGTTAAGAGAGGTCCCTTGGGTTTCTCTGGTGCTTATCAATAGTAGCAGTTAAGTGAATACTGTTCAAGCAATACCTGTGTTTGTGTTTTATATTGATTTCTCTGTTTTATCCTTTCATAAATGTAAGGACTACAAATGGCTATAAACATTCTGGGCTGGTTGGAGTAAACAGGGTTTTATTGCTCTGTGGGGGAGGTGTAGGTATGCAGGCCTTGAGACCTTTTGTTGTAAAGTGAGCCTGTTTGGTTTCCTGCTGCGTTTCCTGCTGCGTTGCGTCTCCCAATGAGATGACCTGAAAAGATGACCAGCTGACCTAACACCAAACCCCTCCTTCTTACTCTGATATATCTCCGGAGGATCCCTGGCGTTCGGCCTCTTCTTCACATGCTGCGCTCGGGTGAAAGTAGCTCTGCAGTATGCGGACTAGAGCAGGAGTAAGCCGGCATTACTCCTTAAGCATTGCAATATAACTGTAATATATCATGTTGTATTGTAATGATTGTATTGCATTGTCATATTGCCATTAAAGTAGATTATTGTTAACGGTTACTTTGTAGATATGGATTCCTTCCTGTATTATAACCAGCTTCATAGGAACGCGCGGAGATTTGAAAAGCGGACCAGTTATCCCTCCAAATCTCCAACAAAATGGTGACCCGACGTCTATAACGAAGCTGAGGAAGAATTCAGACGCTTTCAAACATCTCAGACAATCAGCAGGACTCTGCAACTTTGCAAATAAGGTAAGCAGACGATGAAAGTCGCCTGTCTGTAATTGGATACGCTACAACTTTAGGATTGTCTGTAGGCGTTTCACAGTGTTTTTATAGTTTAAATGGAATATACAATGCATATTTTACTATGTTAGGAAAGTTATATACAAAACGTAAACGTGGATCGACAGGTAGACGGAAGTCCTGCGTGACGTAAATAGAGCAGTTTGGCGCGGATCTGCAGGTGAATATTCCTGAGTGGCGTAGAAATGGTGCAGTTTGTGTGAATGCGAGGTTTGAATCCTGCACGGCAAAACCTGAAAACTCGATATATCAGATCGAGTCGCCGTTTAAAACTGGGGTTTAAATAACAGACCAATGCTAAAAGCTTAAAGCCAGAGGTCTGTTATATATTAAACCAAGGTAGAGCGTTTCCCTTTGTCTGGAAACTTCTGCTGCTGCCATCTAGTGGCTGAAAGGTGGTATCACACCCTTGAAACTTCTGCTGCTGCCATCTAGTGGCTGAAAGGGGGTATCACACCCTTGAAACTTATGCGAGCTTAGAGTTTAATCATTACATTGCTGGCCGGTATTGTTTGGTAAACTGGTACAAAACAATAAGGGATTGAACATTTTTTACAACGACAGCACCAGGAGATGAGTAAACTCAAGAATCTGTAGAGTGTAAATACATTGTGCAAAACACATTTTACACTCGAACTGTTTGCAAATGTAGACAATATAAATAAATGTTCAGAAAGAAGACATAGGCCTACACTTGATTCAAATTTCATTACTGTGATCCGATTGGTGTGCTCTGCAGGTTTACTATTGTTCGAAGTAACAGTGGGATTTAAAATGAGAGAAGATATGGAGATGTTCTTTCATAGTGTGTGGAATATGTGATGCTGGAAACATGTAAGTATTTCAGAGTTGTGTTGGGTAAATATGTAACAATGGATGAAACAATTTTTGGAGTTAGTTTTTGTAATATCATAAGTAGACATTAATTATGTTGTTTAGATGGCATTTAACAACTAAGACAGATAGTATGATTAGAAAGAGACAGAGTGGAAAGGGTTGGATTTATTTAACATCAGTGTGCTAGACTTCTTATAGGTAATGTGTACCGGGACCTGGACTCCCCCTCTGAGTTAGAAAGGCTTTGATCCCGACCCTCCAAGCAGACAACGAGACCTAACCCAACAGGAGACTCCTCCTTCTCCATCGTACAGACAGAGAACCAGAGCTGAACCAACAACAACAACAAGACTACATCAAGACTGCAGCCAGAACTATCTCCACCTGTGGCATCCAGAACCAAACCAGCATGCTGACATACAGAGAGATACTCTCATCAGCCCCTCAGACAGGACATGAGAGCAGAATCCGCCCTCCATAAAAACAGCAGAGAGACTGTAAAGGAGGAGTGCAACAACAGTGGCATGATGGGGCTGCAGATGTGACTGGGCCAATGGCTGCCTACAAAAGTTACAGCGGATGGATTCAACAGCTGATGGACTGAAGAGAAGACAGAATCAGAGGAGTTGGCATGGTCGATTAGAAGTGAGGAGGCCGGGGTCACGGCTTGAGAAAACCAGGGGAGGAGGAAAGGAGAACGGGAATGAGTGAGTTACACATAAACACACTTATTCACGAAACGCACATTTAAATAACTTGAATTAACTTCATAAAGACAGAAAGATTTATTAATCATTTGATAAATTAAAAATAGCAGTAAAGAGGAAACTATTAAAGTAAGATGATAATCATCCTAAAACACACTGACAGAGTATAACCATATTCTTCAATATTTTCATCATGTTAACAAATCATTCTTTAAGACATTTTTATTCACGTGTGAATAAAGTAGTGATCTCATTGGTTACAATATTGATCACCATTATAAGGATAGTTTTAGGAACCACTCTATAGGACAAATCTTTGTTTGTATTAATGGCTAGTGCCAAGCCACATATTAAATTCCAATCTAAAGTGTTGATTTCACCATTGTGGCATAGTTATTACCAGACTTCGGTTTTAAATCCTTGATAAAGGACGGAGTAATTGTTGCATGTTCGGACACCCAAGGTTCCACACACTGCTAAAGAGTTTAACATCGTTTTTTAAGTAGACCAGAATTATAATGAGCTATGAAATGCAGAGCGACACAGATCCTAGTAATGTTTTGACTCAAGATAATAGTTATTGTACACAAGTTTCTGAAATAGATCATTAGACATTTTAATTAGTAGTGGTACTCGAAGGAAGTGAGTTTTGTACCAAGTTTCAGGAAAAGTGGGAGGCGGAAGTCCCAATGACAAGTGAGAATCATCTTGAAAATTATAGTTGAAATCGTGACATATTTTTGTAGACAAAGGATACTGGCCTATGCTGAAA